TATCTGTCTATCTATCTGTCTATCTATCTGTCTATCTATCTGTCTATATTGCTATACACTGGTTTTGTTGGAGTTGTAATAGTACAGCAAGAGTAGGTGGTAAGCAATAACGCATCCACCAGCTGACTGCAGCCGGGGCAATAAACCTCTTCAACCAACAGCAGAGGGTTGTTAAACATGTATTGGTAGAAAGAGGCACAGAAATAATTCTCACTAAAATTCCAATTTTACTTAATTGTATCTCATATCTAATTTCTAAGTAAAGGGCTGAAAGTCTCCTCTTTCTGCGTCTGGCTGTAGTTGAAATTAGTACGAGCTGTGATCCCAACTTTGGTCCCCCAGCCCTGATTTAAGTTCCATACTGTGTGCATTTAGGGCTCAAACATTTTGGCATATGTACTAATAATGTACATCTGCAGCTTGATGGGAATTGTTACTGTACATAGTTGGAAGCTTACATGTGCGTTTGTAAGACAAAGTTTCTTTTCCTTTGCACTGTTTTTTTTTGTTTCCCTCTACTCAGGGCAGTTGTTAGTAAAACATGTTTTTTCTGCATGGGTGTGTTCTGATTTCTGGGCCAGATTTTCATCAGTACAATATGAGCTAATCTTGTGTGTGCTTTCCTGACTTTGGAATGTTTAACTTTATTTAGAACTGTTTTTATTCCCTCATGAATACTCTGAGAGGATATTTAGTGTTTCTGGAGAGATGTGGAGTACTGCAGTCATTCAGACTGTATGCACTTTAAAAAAAAAAAGAGAAAAAGTTACTATGTTTAATCATAACCATTTACAAAGGTTATCCTTTTAATTTCCCAGATACTGCTTAATTTTAACATTCATGGATTCATCTACCACCAGTGTTTCCCCTCTTTTCTGCTGTTTTCAGATAAAGTAGATGCATTGAAAACAAAGGTCAATATTTTAAGGGAGAACACTTAGTTTCCACATAGGTCACATAAACAGTGTCTTTGCTTTCCTTCCAGTTGCTAATTTTGTCTTAATCTGTTACATATATAGACAAGTGTATATATGGCATGTAATTATAGAAGGTATGATATCCGTTTTTGATTTTTTGGGGGGAGGAACTAGATGAAATGGTGCAAGGATACACTGCACTCCGTGCACTGCCTTCCTACCTCAGACATCCTGCAATATCTATAGCTCTGCTGTCTTTCCTGCATTGATGCTCGATACCAACATGAATTAAGTCAGGTTTCTGTGAAAAGTGCTTAGATGAAAAAAAAGCCTTACATTTTTAACCAAAACTTTTTATTCCCTGATTAAGTTTCCTCTAAAATATTAATCTTCTCCCTGTATTTTTTTCCCCAAGAGTGATAGCAGAGAAGGCGGTAAGTTCAGATAATGGAACCACATGCTATTTTCAGTGAGCTGAAGTGTGTCTGCACTCTTGCTTTCCTGTGGTTCGAGTTAGATCATGCCATATATTTACTTCTGAGGTACACAAGCAAGAAGAGCCTATGGAAAAAGCATTTAGATTTTCTGGGTGGTGCCCTTTCTTTGGATGAGCTATTGTTACACTAGCTGTTGTGTAAGTCACCAGAATAGTACTCATACTGTCCAGCTGCACCTTGATAGTAATTCACAAGCAGCAGCTGCTTATCAAATCAGAAGATGTTTCTGGGAAGCCTGAACTACTTCTTGGAAATAAACTGGAAGTATAAAATGTAAGATGGCTGAGTCTCACGGAGCAGTGCCTTAGTGTAAATCCATTGTTAGAGGTTTCTGTGCTGACTGGAGAACTTAACAGGACACAACATACTTACATTGCGTCTGAAGGTAAATAAAATTACACAGGAGGCTACAAATCTAATGACTGGATCTGGATCTGTATTAAAAACTTGACATAAATACTGTCAGTTGAGCTCTGGTCAAAGTGCTTGAATTCTAAATAGTGTTCTTATTTTTGAATGGACCCAAACCATCAACTGAGTACATCTGATGGATGAAACACAGTAGTTTAGTCTATGCTCAATGAATTCTGGAAAAGCTCCCTGTTTTCTGTGACAGCTCTCTTATGACAATAGGATGAGAATTTTTAGACTTTCTATTTAAACAAAAAGAAACATTTTTTGCACAGTGTTTCCTTAAAAAAACAGTAATTAAAGCTAGTACAGCTGTCTATTCTTTGTATGGGTGGTTCTTTGTCTGTAGCTCGAGTAAATACTTCTGGTCCATTTACGTCAGCATGAGAACAGGTGACTGAAAGAGTGCATTTTGTTCTTCTGCATCTCACAGGCTTAAAAATTGTTTGTTGATGAAGACGTGTTGTTGGTTAAATATATGCATAGTAGTAACATGGTCTGCACACAGAGCCACAGACAATACTTGTCCAAATATATTACTGATATTCAAGCAGATTAGAATTTTTAATGTGGGTTTTGTGACAGCTGTTCTTATTTCTGATAAATTTCCATGCCAATAGGACACTGGCAATAACAGAGAGATGCAGTACAGATCCTTTTCTCTGTTTTGTCTTTGACAAACACAGCAATGGCTGGCTCAAGTGCTGGACGCCATGAAAGCCTGTGCTCTTAGCATTATCGTAGGTTGCTGAAATAAAACATTGCTTGTTACAAATCAGTAGGAAAAATGAAATCTTGTTTGTGAGATGTGGTTTTGCAGTCTTGACCAGGCTGTTCTGTGTTTGTCAGCAGGTCCATAAGTCTTGTTCAGTAACACTGCACAAACCAGGTATCTTTTGTATTATGTGCAGTAACAGACTGGGCAAATCTTTTCTCTGAAAGGGAGCTTGAGAGAGAATCTGCTTCCTTGTGATGTTTTAAGTCTGGCTAAATGCCAAAGTAGTGTGCTGTTTATTGTTTTGTTTTTCGTATCTGCTTTAAGCTGATAAAACATCCTCTTCCTTTTGAATCTGACAAAGGACTAAGCGTAGCTATGGAGAAACTCAGAGAAGGAAAGTCTTGAAGAGATTTTATGGAAACAATTATTTTCTGTGTCAAGTGCTTCATTGGTTAAGCAGAGAGATTACAGAGCTACATCAGTGGTCCCATTGACTTAGAGGGGAGATGTGTGTTCAGGACATCAGCTCCAGAGCGCTTTAGGTTCTTTAAAAGCTTGTAGTAAGGAAGGAATATGTTTTTTATCTTCTGTTTACTGCACATAAGGAAAATGCGAGCAAAGCTAATTTATTTCTGAAGGTAAAGCAAACTACAGAGGAGGCTAGAAGTCAAATAACTGGAACTGTGTCTGTATTAGAAACCTAACATAAATACTGGCAATACAGAAAGTCTGGTCAAAAATGTTTGGGCTCTGAAAAATGTTCTTGTTTTTAATGGACCTGAACCATCAACTAAGTATCTGGTGTATAATGCAATGCTTTGTAATTTACACTGTTTAAGTTTTTTTGAAAAACCCACATCATCTTTGAATTTTCCTTATGAATTGAGCTTTTTTTTATTTTATTTTATTTTTTAATTTGGCAATTTGTTTTGATACTATGGAACAAGGAATTGTGAGTAGAACTCCTCGCTAAAACAAAGACATTGGGGTACTGAAGTATGTAGAAAGAAGGGCAATGAAGCTGGTGAAGGGGCTGGACCTAAAGTCTTAGGAGGAGTGGCTGAGGGAACTGAGTGGTGTTGACCTCTTCTCTATGAAAGCAGTAACAGGGAGAGAGGTAATGGCCTCGAGTTGCACTAAGAGAGGTTCACTTTGGATATTAGGAAGAATTCCTCCTCTGAAAGGAGAGGTCAGGTGCTGGAATGGGCTGCCCAGGGAAGTAGTGGATTCATTGACCCAGGAGGTGTCAAGGAACGTTTAGGTGTTGCTCTAAGGGACGTGGTTTAGAGGGAAATATTGGAAGTAGGTGGGCAGTTGGATCGGGTAATCTTGGAGATCTTCTCTAACCTCTTCCTGTGACAAGCAAAGACCCGATTTCAAGATGGAGTAATGTTTGTGAGGCATTATGTGAAAATGTTTCAGTTCAGTTTTTCAGCTTACAGTATTGATCAGCGCTTAGCTGTAGATGAAGTTATAACAGCTGTTGCCATAATGTATAGTATTCGTGTGTTCTTACCATGCAATTCTTCATAAATACAAACAATTTGGTAGTTTATATTCACAACTATTTAAAGTTGTTACAAGTTTAGTCAGTAAAAATAATGAGGCCTGCCTTCCTCTGAGTTTCTGTAGCTTTGGCTTTTGAATGTGCTGAAAATTTGTAGTCAGTGCAGAAAGAAGAAAATTGCGTGATCAAAAAGGCCTCCATTTCTGCAGAATTCATGCTAAAAATAAATAAAGGTTTTGGAGTACTTCATCATTCAGAACTCTATCTAGACCTGTGTTACCATCTGACCAGTGAGCAGAATTGCTTGGCGGAGTAAGTGAAGATTTTTCTCTGTGCACAGCCAGCTGTAGTGCCTTGACAGCTGTACGGTGTTTAAATGTTGTACTGGTGTATAGTAACTGAAGAGAGGTACTCAGGCAACTAAGAGGGAGAAAAATTATGTATGGGAATTCTGGAAAAAAAAGATAGAGAAGAAAGTGAATTAGTCTATCCGTACTGCAGGTTATTGAATTAAAACAAAACCTCAAAGCTAAGGCTGTTTCAATCTCTGCTGGACCCAGATGAGAGTTCTTTGGACAGTAGGAAGCAAAATCTAAATATTTCTGTTAATAGTGAAAAACATACAAATGTTTATTTGCACCTTAACTGTGTTTGGGGAAAATAATGGTTTCTTCTCCGGGGCAAATAGCTTGCTTTTCTGTGTAAGCAGATGCTGTAACCCGTATGATATTGTGTGACTTGCTGTACATTTTGAATACTCTCAGGTTTTGGTTTAGAAGAAATCAAGTTTTGCCAATATTTTAAGAGCTACTTTTTACAATGGCCAACAGTTTATAATTTATCCTCAGTGTATACCTGAATTTCTTTTTTTTTTTTTCTTCTTCTTCTAGGCAAAACCAAAACTCATAGAACCAATAGACTATGAAAATGTCATCGTTCAGAGGAAAACACAGATTTTGAATGATGCCTTACGTGAGATGCTGCTGTTCCCTTATGATGACTTTCAGGTAACTTAATACCCTGTCCTCCACCTTTTAAAAATCAGATTTTTAGCAGCAGTAGTCATGAGAATTTCATATTTCTTTATTATTTAATGTTTTCTAGCTATTAAAAAAAAAAAAAAAGGAAAAAGTATTTACCATTAGTCCCCTTATACTGCTCAATTGTTCTGTCAGGTTATAGTCAAAGAAATAGCACACTTTCTTCATCTATTCAGATTATAAAGTCTATCTCTGCAGCTCAGAAATCTTAACTGCTTTTTGAAGTAGGCGATCAATCATTTCTAGGTGGTTTCATCCCTTTCTGGAGTAGGAAATCATGTGGTGTTTGTTCAAAAAAAGGATCTGCTTTTTGTCAGTTTAACCTTTGAAGTGATTTTTTTCCTTTCATAGCAGTGAAGGGCATGAGTCTGTTAATGCATGTTAATCCACCCCAAAAAATCCATATTAATGCACTCCCCCCGCCCGCCCCCCTCCCCCCCCCCCCAAAAAAAAAGAAAGTGGCCAGCTGATTGAGGGAGGTGATCCTCCCCCTCTGCTCTGCTCTGATGAGACCACATTTAGACTGCTATGTCAAATTCTGGGCTTCCCATTCAAAAAAGATGGAGATCCCCTAGAAGGCATCCATTGGAGGACCATAAAGATGGTAAATGGCCTGGAGCATCTCCTGTATGAGGAAAGGGTGAGTAATCTGAGTCTGTTCAGCCTGGGGAAGAGTGAGAGAGTATCTGATAAATATTTATAAATATCTGAAGGGAGGTGGGAAGCAAATGGACGAGGCCAGTCTCTTCTCTGGTGCATATGACAAGGAGTAATGACCTAAAACTTGAACACTGGAAGTTCTGTACTAACACGCAGAATAGTAAAGTTGACGGAGCACTGGAACAGATTGCCCAGAGATGTTGTGAAGTCTCCTTCTCCGGAAATATTCAAGAAAGCTGGATCCCTACCTCTGCAATGTATTGTAGAGCACCTGCTTTAACAGTGGGATTGAACTTGATGATGTCTTCTGGATCCTTCCAACACCTGCAATTCTGTGATGAGCCAGTGGTGTGCCCTTGCAGCCCAGAAAGCCAACCCTATCCTAGGCTGCATCAAAAGCAGCATGGCAGGCAGGGCAAGGAAGGTGATCCTGCCCATCTATTCTGTGCTTGTGAGGCCTCACCTAGACTACTGCATCCAGATGTGGAGTCCTCAGTATAGGAGAGACATAGAATTGTTGGAGCAAATCCAGAGCAGGGTCGCAAAAATGATCCAGGGGGGTGGAATACCTCTGCTATGAAGACTACAGAAGAGCTGGGGCTGTTCAGCCTGGAGAAGAGAAGGCTCCTGCGAGCAGCCTTTCAGTATCTGAAGGGGGGCTATAAGAAAGAAGGGCACAGACGTTTTTAGCATGATCTGTTGCGGTAGGACAAGGGGAAATGGTTTTATACTAAAAGAGGGGAGATTTAGATTGGATACAAGGAAGTATTTTTACATTGAAGGCAGTTAAGCACTGGATCAGGTTGCCCAGAGAGGTGATGAATGCCTCATCCCTTCAAGGCCAGGCTGGATGAGGCTCTGAGCAACGTGATCTAGCTGTAGGTGACCCTGTTGATTGCACAGGAGTTGAACTAGATGGCCTTTAAAGGTCCCTTCCAACTTAAACAATTCTATTCTATGATTAAGGAAGTATTACTGTTGGAGAACAGAAACTTTTTATATTATTTATGCTTTAGCAATTTAAGCCTTTTAACCCTTTTTTCCATAATCATTTGTAGTTTTGAAACCTTAAATCTTGGTATGGTTGTCAGTACGTTTTGAGTCATTTAAATAATGCTGTATTTTCTGTATTTGCCATTGTGCTTCACATCTGTTTTCTTAATTTCCTTTTTCCTAACTTGTTGCTGTTACACAATGCTCTTGGTAAGCCTCTGCTCATGTGCTTTGTGTTGCCCTCATCCCCCATAAGATCAATTTAAAACAATGAGTTACAATATTTAAGCTGCCTGTATACACACTTTGAACAGTTTATAGGTGGAAGCCATTGTTTAAAAACCTGTTCAAGCCATTTCCTCTTAACAGCATTCTGATTTTATTGTTATGAAGTTTTTCCTCATGCTTAGGTTAAACTGTTTACAATCTAAAAAGCGCTTGCCTAAAAAGGAAGCAAAGCCCTGATAATTTCTCAAGACAGTAGGAGTAAGGTTAATTTGTTACCAACATGGTCATAAAACTAGCACTAAGAAGGGATATTCAGTGCTCTCTTATTATTAGCACTTCTTCAATCATCTAATAAAAATGTGGAAGTTATTTAGTTTACAGAGGCAGAGCGATAACACTACTGAGTTTGTCTTCAAGTTGAAATTATTTTGGGAGAAATTGGAAGCTTTTGTAATTAATGTAGAGAAAATTTTTTCAGGTAATGCTTTATTTAACTGAAATGCAATTTTGTGGACGTTTTTCACACAATCAGTAACAAAAGCATACTTTTAAATTGTTATTCATATTTGATTACAAATAGCATTTTTAGAAAACGTTTTTATAATGTCTGCAATTTTCAGATGTGTTTGGGATTTGTGTAACTTACTGAAATATGTTAAGTACATTGATATTGCTATTGTGACTCACTGCCAAGTGATTATGTAACTTACTTATTGTTAGTTCTGCTTGAGTAAGCTACAGAATGTACTTTCCTAATTTTCTAGCAGCTAAGGGTTGAGATTGTAACAATGCAGACTTGTATTGATTCTAGCAGCTTCTAATTGCTTTGCCTTTTTGATTTTTGCTTCAGAATTTTTTCACCATTTTGTTAGGCTCATTTAATATCTTGTTCTGAATTCACTGTTAATCCCAAATTCAGTTTGTAAACTCTTACTGCATCAGAGTTGCCAGGTAGTAAAGAAGCACTAATAAGAACTTGAAGTCTGTATCAGAAAATAGAAAGCTTGCACAGCAGCTGACTTCTCTAACAGTCTGTTGCTTGCTTTTCTGCCTCTTTCCCAATGAAGTTATTTCAATAGGGAAGGAGGAAAAAACACAGTAATTCACTTTTTTTATGATCATGGAATTATAGAATGGCCTGGGTTGAAAAGGCCATCTAGTTTCAACCCCCCACTATGTGCAGGGTCACCAACCAGCAGACCAGGCTGCCCAGAGCCACATCCAGCCTGGCCTTGAATGCCTCCAGGGATGGGGCATCCACAGCCTCCTTGGGCAACCTGTTCAGTGCGTCACCACCCTCTGTATGAAAAAATTCCTCCTAATATCTAACCTAAACCTCTCCTGTCCTGGTAAGCTCTGACTCTTCTCTAAATGTGCTTTCTGAAGTAGCTGTAGCCCTCAAAATTATCGAAGAAATACGTCAGCAGCAGTGGAGCAGAAAGCGCTCTTCAGCCTTTGTCAGTTTTCCCTGAGCAGGACTGTCCTTCTGTCAACGGGTTGAATTATATGAAATGTTCCACTTAAGTGCATTTGCTGTCATCCTGAATTTGGTTGGCTGAGATTATCAATCCAGTTTTCTCTCCTTTGTATATATTTGTAGAAGCTTATTTGCTTTTCTTAAAAGTCTTTGTGTTGATTGTACTTCTTTTTTTAAAGTTTTGAGTGTCTTTGTTTCCTTAATGCTGTCATACTCAAACTGTAGCAAGTTTTGCTTTTCTCTGATTTCCAGAACACCTCTTTATCAGCGACTTTACCAACCTACTGGGTCTGAAGATTTTTTCAGTTGCTTTTCACAAGCTTAAGTTCTGAGTTTTCTCTATGACTTCAGTCTAACCAGTTTACTTCCTAAGTTGTTCTCATCAAACTTGTGAGGACAATCATTGTATGTTCGGAAATTGTTTTTGCTGTTTACTTTGTGGAGCTCTATTTTGTTCCTAGTAGTTGGGCTGTCTAAACTTTGAGCACCTGTGTGCTTTGCGGGCTGTTGTTTTGTAGCTGTCTGTTTTTGTTTCATTTTCACTATGGCCACTACATAATGTGTTTGTTCTATTACTATCCTAGAAGTACTTTTCCTCCATTTGGAGCTTCACCCATTAATCTTGCTAACCTCAGTTAAAGTTCTGTCAGTCTTAATCATTGGAGGTTATGACTCTTCTATTCTCTTGCCTCCCTGTAATACTCTTTCTCCCATCCTTTGGGTACTCTTGTATGGAATTTTGTGCCTCTTCGTAACTCACTGTTTTATTCCAAATCACTTACATTTCATTTACTCAACAGTGAAATGGCTTCTTAGCAATCTTCATGAGTCGCATTGTTATCATAAGCTCAGTAGCTGAAATGGGCGATGCGTATGTTAACTGCATAGCAGGTAAATTATTAAAAGAAACCTTAACTGTTCTAATGGTCATTTTGCAATGAAATACCTTGTGTCTAGTTTTTCAAAATACCTAGCCTCTGAGTACTATCTCTATTCTTACAGTGAAATTTTTTCTCAGTACAGAATATATTTGCTTGTAGCAAACACTACATAGGTGCATTCCTACTGAAGTTAAAATATACCATTACAAAGTTACTCTGGTTTTGTATTGAAGGCATTTTGGTGCTTAGCTTTCAGCTTTCTTCCTTTTGACTTTGAATTGAATGGATTTTGAACACTTTCACTGAAAACTTTTGAGTTTTAGTTAATGCAGTTAAGTACCTGTACTAATAAATATCATGTGTGCCTTACAAAAATAGAAGTAAATCTAGGATTCTTCAAGAAAGCCTCTCATGGGTAGAAGAAACAAACATCTTTTCCATTGATTGTCTTTTAAAACAATTTGTTGCTGCTTCCTGTCAGTTTGCATCCATAAATCAGAATCCATAATGTGTGATATTGTGGGTAAAAGACCACTGAATTTTTACTCTGTGGTCTTCTCCCTATTTTTTGTATCCTAGTTTTTTCAGTCCTTATTTTACTGTCAAGATGCAGCACATTAACATCCTCCTGTGCTTTCTCTCTCTACCTTGCAGCTTCATGGTTTTTTTTTCTTCAAAAACTTCTTTCCCACTATTTTGAATAACCATCTTTCAGTAACCATAATGGCAGGGATCTTAAAGGGTGGTCACCATATTTCCCAGAATGAAGTGAATGATTTCAACTTTCACACAACTACTTTGGTGTGTGATTTATTTAAAAAACAGCAAAATAAAAATTGAAGTTCAAATTAAATACTTTGTGTATGAAACACTTGCATATCCTTTTTATTGTGATAAAACTAAAAACTGTCTGCACTTGATGTGTGCTTTGCTGCAATGACTTGTGAATAAGCTGTGACATGGAATAGGGTCAGCCACCATTGCTGCACATTTGTGTTTGTTTTAAGTATATAAGTATGCACTGTGTTAAGACACCCTAGAACAAAATCTTTGACAGGCCCTTAGTTCCACATGAAAGCAGGTTTGTCTTAAAAAGAAACCCGATCATCTTGCTGTTATTGTGCTATAAAGAATCTGGAAGGAGAATAAAACTGAACCAGAAGATTCAAGGAGGAATGGTTTTAAACTGAGACAGGGGAGGTTTAGGTTAGATATTAGGAGGAAGTTTTTCACTCAGATGGTGGTGACACACTGGAACAGTTTGCCCAAGGAGGTTGTGGATGCCCCATCCCTGGAGGCATTCAAGGCCAGGCTGGATGTGGCTCTGGGCAGCCTGGTCTGGTGGTTGGTGACCCTGCACATAGCAGGGGGGGTTGAAACTGGATGATCACTGTGATCTTTTTCAACCCAGGCCATTCTGTGATTCTGTGACAAGATTGCACACCATAGGCAAGTACTCTGGGGCTGTGTAGCTCAATAAAAAATATTTTCTGCCCTGGCCTCCCTGTGAAACCTAAGTGCATTGTTCTGCTGTCCTAAATCTCTCAAAACAGCTCAGAATGTGGAGTCAGTGAGTGCTGGATTATGTGCCTCCACAGTGCATGGGAATCCTAGCTGATGTTAGAAGCTGTCTTCCTTAGTTTGATAACACGGTAGCTGAAAGGTTTGGATCTTCTTGGAGAACGTGAGACAAACGTCCTGTAGTTCCTGATGCTTCTGTAAATCAAATGGCAATTTGAGCCCAGAGAGCTGTACAACACATTTGTACAAAACAGTCCAACCAATGTAGATGTCAGGAAAAAAACTGTAAAAAAGAGAGTTTTTTCCAACTGCTTTTTCTTCTGGCTTTATACTGCTTATGTATACAAATGCTTGCTTTTTAAATTATTGTTGTTTTGATGCTTTTGTAATTACTTTTAAGGATTTGTTCTAAATAATGTGATTGCTGCTTGCTGCATTTCCTGGCTCTCTAAGAATTATTATAGCTGAAGGACAACTTGACAAAGGGGCAATATGCATGGTATCAGTTAATAATGTTAACAAATCTGATAAATTCTTCTGGTTTGTAACTGATCTTGCTGCAGATAAAAAGATTGCAAGCTTTTCATGTGAGAAAAACTAGAAAAAATCCTTAGTGTTGTGTTTGTAGTTGTGTAGCAGGAGAACAGCAGCAGAATTTGCACAGATATGCACCACCAGCTCAGTTCCACAAGTTCCACTATAGTGCAATTAAGTTCATGGCTTTCCTGTGAAAATACCTAGTAAGATGCTACTCTAGTCTCTGCTCTGTAAAGCTAGAAATATGAAGTAAATAGCCTATTCTACCTGTATGGTTATGAATAAAATGGAAATAGTTTTCTATCAACTGTAAGACTGCTTCAGGCTGAACCAAGGATCTTTCTGTCATTTTCCTCTTATTGCTGCTAATACTCTTCCCCTCCTCTCCCCCCCACATTGCTTGTGCTTCTTCAGTGCTTATTCATTGCAAAATTGACCTGTAATGAATCTAGTGAATTTATAATGTGAACACATAGAATTTGAACGAGGAGAGGCTCTTTAAGTTTTCTAGCTTTACTTGTTTTTCTTTTTTTTTTTTTTTTTTAATTTTCCCCCTATTCCTTTTGCTCAGTGATTGTTGTGTCAGCCCTCCTGAGTAGGAGAGAGAGGACTGGAAAGGTAAAAGTCCAAGAACTCATGAGTTGAGATAAAAACAATCTACTAGGTGAAGGAAATGCTGCATGCACAAGCAAAGCAAAACAAGGGATTCATTCACTGCTCCCCATTCGCAGGCAGATGTTCATCCATTTCCAGGAAAGCAGGGCTCATCACACATAATTGTTCATTGGGAAGACAAATGCCATCACTCCAAACATCAGCACTCCCCTCCCTTCCTCTTTCTGCAGTTTGGACATTCAGCCTTGCTTCTGTAGCTTTAAAATGATATGTAGAATGTTTACATCTCTCAGATTTGTTTCAATTCAGTGAATGATGCTAAAAGTGTCGAGATTAAAAGTGATATGTGTGTATGTATATATCCTCATGTTTTCAGACAGATTACAAATGAAAAAAAAAATAGCCTATATATTCATGCTGTGGGTGTATGACAGTCAGAAATTGTCACCTTTTTCTCACCACTGCTGGTGTTTTCAAAGAGAAACAGCAGATCGGTTTTCTGACTGCCAGCAAATTGAACTTCACATTCAAACTTCTGTTAAGATGATAGGTAATAAAATCTACTGAACCTCTTTTTGATTGCTGAAAAACAGAAGAACCATGTTAGATTATTGGACATGGAGTTCATGGATACTCAATATGGCGAACACCTGCTAATATAAAATGAGTGAGATTTTTGTATTTGATTAAAAAATAGACAAATAACATTGAGGTTAAAATGAAAATGACTATTGAGCCCACTACCAAAGCAGCAGTGTGATTCATGTCAGTTCCAAACTGATAGAAATCATGCTAGGTAACCAGGTATGTTTTTGCATTTTTCAACATTTCTTTTTGTAGATGTTTTACACTTCAGGCTGTTGGTGAAAACGAGTATTTTAAAGTTGATATGGTTGTAAATGAGCACATTCTCTTAATAAGGAACATGTTTTGAGAATTCAGAGAACTTAATCCGCATGCAGTAATAGTGTTTAGCAGTTACCCTATTGCAGGTGTTTTTAACTGTATTTTAAGATTTATGGGTCCCATAATGTTGCTTTTCTTTTTGGTTTTGTTACTTCTCTTCTCGTACCCAAGAAGTTAGCACTGTCACTTTTCAGTAGAGTGCTGGAGCAGATGACTGACTTGACCATGAACACATCCTACCTTTTCTTTCCTTAAACCTTTGAGTATTCCAACTCAAAAGCCATCCCCAGATAATGGGAAGGGCCTCTGATAACAACGAAACCGTCACCTGATAGATCAGTCTCTCAGCAGGGATGATTTCAGAGACATACTGATGGATATCCCTTCTTCTTGACCATTAGTATGTGGAGGGTTTGTTTTGTTTTGTTTTTTGCTTGTTTGTTTTTTATCCTTTTTTTTTTTTTTTTTTTTTTTTTTTAAGGAACATTTGGATTTTGTGTTGAGGGACATGGTTTAGTGAATACTATTGATGATAGGTGGATGGTTGGACTGGATGATCTTGAAGGTCTTCTCCAACCTTGGTTATTCTGTGATCTTTTCACATTTTTCTCTGATGGTTTGTGGTACCATGATGCTGGAAGTATGGGTAACAAATGAGGGATCACAGCCCCTTCCAAACACAGCCCATGGAAGCTCACTTGTCCAACTCTGATGACATAAGATGTGATGTTTTTAATGTTTTCTGAGCTGTACAAAATCATTTCTGTTGTGCACTCATTTACTTGCGGGCCAGAAGATTTTGTAAAGTTTTCACCTTTTACAATTCCTAGTTTAAATGCCTTAAGGCTTAGTATGGTGTTAGTTTTTGAAGCAAACATTCATACTCATAGTGATATTTTCTGTTCTCTGTCAGCTGTTCTCTGAACTCTGGCATAGACTGGGAGTAAGTTCTGGTTTTGGTGAGCATGTTTTGGCTGCCAGAAGGGCATAACAGGGGTCAAGGCTTTCTTTGTCACCTTCAGTTTAGTAGCATAAGTCTCTTTTTTTTTTTTTTTTTTTTTTTTTTGGCCAGCTGAGATCTGCAATTGAACTATCCTTCTTATTTTGGCATGAAGTTGCTATTTTCCTAAGCAATAGTTTTTGTATGTAGCAATATCACTAACCTAATATCTACAAAGTATTGAAGTTACACTGTCAAGGTGGAATTATTTTTACCAGTATTTTCTTGTGAATGTTGTCATAGTGGAGGAAAACACTTCTTTATGGCTTCTAATTTTTCCTGATTCCAATCTTGTCACCTTGTTCTTGCTGTGAGGGAAGGAACAAGTAGCTAATGTTTGAATGCAACTAAATTCTTATTAAGTGGCTGCTCTCCTTTCCCGTATTCACAGGATGTTTGCTGCTCAGCTTCTCTACTGTCTATAGCAATATAACTTGAGTGTTGTCACGCTGTATCGTCTTCCTTTACTTGCAAGTGTCATTGATTTTGTTGTTGTTATTTATCAGACAGCGTTACTGAAACGACAGAGTCGATACATTCACTCAACAGTTCCTGAAAATGCAGAGAAGGAAGCTCAGAGCTTATTTGTTACTGAGGTAAAATCGGAACCTTCTGTTTTTGTGTCTAATAACAGTATTACACCTGACCTGTATTTATACTGCTTCATTTATTGTTTAAAAAAAAAAAAATTCAGAAAAAAAATAACCTGAAAGAAAAATGTTGCCATTTAGCTCTCAATATTTTGTTTTGAAAACTAGTTCTCTAGTTTTGTCAAGGAAAAATTTCCAGGAAAAAAAACAAGTATTTTCTCCTTCAGTGGCTAGAAAAGGATTACAGGATAGCTGTGAGTAATGTTGCTTGTATCACTCATTTTTGAGGATGGTTCTCCTCCCACCTTCTCTTACTTTTATGCTTTTGACTTTGCCAGTTGAATACGGGTGATGTACATGCACAATATTGATGGCATTATTGAACCGGAATGAATCAATGTGGCTTACTTTTTTATGTCAAACTGTTTAATTCCAGACATTCTCAATTTATTCACAGTAATCCCATTGTTTGTTGGAACAGAGGTATTCATAGTATTAATGCTTGTGGAGTCCAAAATTAATCCTTCATTCTCAGTTTCTATGCTACGTGTAAAAAAAGCACATTCTCAAACTCAGTTTCTTTTAGCCATTTTTTTGTGTTGGCATTCCCTTGGTTCTGACTGTTAACACAAGACACTTTCTGTCTTGTTGAGGCCTCTTAGGAACAAAAGGCTTCCAATTTTTGTCTTTTTTATATTATCTACTGTTTTCTTTACTAATATACTTCAAGCTTGTGTTTTAACACCTGAAACAACAAGTGTGTGTCTGTTGTAATTTTAACGAAGCTGACAGTTTCAAATAGCTAAATCTGTTCTAAACCTTCAAGTGATTTCTCCTCAGTGATAGCTACCATTAATACTTAATCCAAATAATTCAAAAATAAATCTGAAAGTGATACACAAGGAGGGAGGAATGCTGTAGGGAATTCAAGAATTTCAATGATTTTCTGCGGAACAAACTGCTTTACAAATATTTAATATTTGAAATAAAAAGAAAATGTTTTTGAACTGTTAGATGCAGTATTTGTGTGCATGTAAATCTGTTAATGGAGCACAAAGTTCTGTGCCGCATGACTTCTAACAACAGATTTTGTCAGTTTTATGTTACTTCATTCAAAGCCAAGATAAATCAGTACTTTTATGTTTTAGCAGTATGGGTGGAGTGAGACGGTATTTCCTGTGTCCTAGTCCAGGGCGATTGCTTTTCAACAGCTGAAAGCATGTTAAGCATAAATCTAAGAGAAAGGAGTTTTTATTTTCTCCATCAAAGTGCATGAAAAATTCAATATTCTGTTTTAGTAATCCATCTGTCTTGTAAGGCTGAGCTTTCTGAAGAGTCAGTCATGTTTTCAGCTGCAGTGAAATGCTGCTTTAACTTTTCAGACAACTGAAGGTGGTTAATCCAGAAGCTGAATGTATTTTCCATTTTCTGGTTTTATGTGATACATGTTTCAATAGGATATTATCATATAGACATCACTTATTACAAAAAGCAGCATTGCAAAAGAAAGGAAGTGTACAGAATTTTCAGAGATCACTGCATAATCATAATAGTTCATAAACAGACATATCTGAGAAGGTTTTTTTGGTGTGTGTGTCTAGGGAATGCTGGTATAGAGTTGATTGTTTCCCAATTAATATTGATATTTGGTTTCCATTAACGTAGTGCATCAGAACCTACAATTCAGACTGGCACGTTGTTAACTATAAATATGAAGATTACTCAGCAGAGTTTCGACAGCTTCCAAAGTAAGTATGTTAGCCACTGATGTAATACAGACTTAAATTTGGTGTGTGTAACCAGTTATATGCTATACCAGTGTGCAGTAAAGACAATAAAGATTTCTAAGATGAAATTAGTATGGAACATGAAGTTTTAAGATCTTGTTTTACCATTTTCTGGGAAGATACCATAGTAACATTGCCTTATTCATAGGGAGGACGTTACAAGAATTCCTGTCATTGACAGCTTGTAATTAACAGAATAGAAACAAACTCATGTAATAGATTAAACTCAATGGTAAAATGGTGATTTCTTGTTTCTATAGTTTCAGAGGTCACTTTTAGAGTTCTCCTTAGGAGCTTAAGGAATAGAACCTAGACTAGACAAATAATTATAGACTATTAACCAAGAGAGGTGGACACATGTATTTTCAAATGTTGTGTTAATACTCTGTATATACAACCTTATATATATACCTTAACAGGCAGACAGTGTTTTAAGGGTTGTCTAGAAATCCAAGAAGAGATGTGAGCATTGCTTTTCTGAAATCATGTTCATTTTTTTTTTTCTATATTTAAACCTGTATTCAATGAAAAATAGTTTAAAATGGACTAGGTTTTTTGTGTGTGTGTATGCTCATCCTTGATACAGGCATGCAATAAATATCACATAAGCTCACAGCTGCTTAGTGATGTTATGTGCCTCTTTCAGAGAAGTTCTTGGATAAAAATAGAATTGTAGATTTAGATGTGCTTTCAGTGCAAAGGAAAAATTACTGATTTAATTCTCTTTTTTTAGTTCTACATATTTGATCAAATTCAGTTTTGCTTCTAATGATTGATATTCATTTTTACGTTTGCATTAATTGTTAATAAAAGCTGTAGAAATTGTTGGAACAATTGGAATTGTTTTATTTAAAGTTTATATGAAGATGATTTGATTTCACTGGGAGATATTATTCCCATTAGTGAAAAGTTTTGCTATATTTATGGCTTATAGATAGGCCTTCTGATGTCTTCCTTCACATTCCAGAAAGCATTTTGACAGAGGGAATAGTTTTTTGACAGAGAGATGGAGAAGGAGGAGCTTCCACTGTTCTTTTTTTAAATTTGTTTCTAAAATGTACCTTTTAGATTGACAGACAAACACAGCAACAGCATTGCTTTTGCTCTCATTTGATTTTCCCTTCCTAAGTCCAGATGACCTTTTGCATTGTATTTGGTTGCAGGTGATAATTATTGCACCTAAGATGTTAGGATTGCAGGAAACAAGAAGGCATTTGTTTCTCCTCAGTTATACAAAGGGACAGCAGCTAGCAGAACAATAGAAAGAGTGTGGCCAGATGTGCGAGTTAGGAAAATTGCGGGATAGGAGAGAGAGATTTAGCCAGATATTCTTGTACTTTTTCCTCTTCAGCTAGGGAAATAACATGTTTGGTTTTTGGCGTATGGAATATATAACCAACCACCAAATTTCTAGAATCTTAGAAACGTTTTCTTTCCTAGTAAAGTGACAAAACCGGAGAAGCTTCCAGTGCATTTGTATGAAGTGGATGAAGAAGCAGATAAAGACGAGGTGAGATAATAGTAATTCCTTTATTGTGTATTCACTAAAGAATGTTGAGATAGGGAAAGCAGAGATTATAAGTTAAGTGTTGATGTCAGTAAGTAAAACCAGCCAGTGCATTGAACAGCCTGATTTAGGGGGGAGGAAGTAGTTACTGTACCTCGTTTGAAATTGCCCTTTATTCCTGAGATCCTAGTATGAGTAAAACAAATTTTGACAGATGTTGAAAATGTAGAAGCTTTTCAACAGTGGTGAAGAATCATTTTGGAGCTTTCATAAAGTCTATTTATATTGTTCCTGTGCAGAGTTGAGTAAAATTATAGGTGAACCTGTTCCGACCTGCAAGTACATGCTGATGGATGCCTATCAATATAGAATACGTGACAATATAGTCTGAGTTAAAATTAGATTGATAAAAATTTGGATGCGGGATAAGTTCTGAAAATATGTGGTGAAAATGCAAACTAATGAAGTTTTATTAGAATCTTTATTAGTCTTTGTTAAAGTCCTATGCGTTTTCATTTTTTGTCATTGGCGTAGGGAAGCCAGAGGTACCTATATTCTCAAGTAGTTTTCCACTATGTTTTGAATGTGGAAGACTTTATTCAATAACTGGTTCTGTTATTTGTATGATTTGTTTAGTTTTTCCACACCCTGTTTCAGAACACGAACTGGTAAGAAGCCAGTTTCCCCTTTTCTTAAGAGTGCTTGAACTCTTGCATCACTGAAAAAAAAGGAATCAAAATCAAAATAAAATGATTTTTGCAGCTTTTATCCTTGATAATTACTTTGTTTATAAATTCCTTGTGTTCAGAACTGCTGCTTGTGAAATAAAGAGAGCTACTTACAAGTTTTCTTGGATTAAATATGAAAATGTAGTTGAGGAGCTGTGTCTGAATAGGGAGATTTCCGAAGAGTCTCAGGATGCCATTTCTCTGTTGTTACTGTTAATGTGCACTGTGATATTTGGATGGACAGATAGCTTCATGTATCTGTAGCCCAAGTTTTCCAGTTTGTAAGATGAGAATAGTGATGCTCTCTGTTGGGGAGGTTGATGGCCCTGCATGTGGCAGGGGGGTTGGAGATTTATGATCCTTGAGGTCCCTTCCAACCTGGGCCATTCTGTGATTCTGTGATACTGAATTTAAGAAGACTTGTCAGAAATATTACCACATTCATGCTAACAGAAACAAAACAGGGAGTTAAACAGGGGGAAAAAAAACCACAACAATGTAGATGAAGGTAGGATTTACTGTGATTGTTAGTAGCAAATGTGGTTATGGCTAGAATTTGTTAAGTACTGAAAAAATGGATCACATGAGTATTGCCAGGTAGTACATTTCTTCCATGTAGTGTAGATGTAAGCGGGGGGACTTCCTGTTTCATTCTGCCCAATTTCCTGTTAGAGCAGACAGTAACATCAGAGCTCTTCCAGAGTTAATAGTTGCTAGAGAAGAGATCGGCTTCTCTTTGTAGAGGTACTTAAAGTGTAATCAGAAGAAAAGAGATTAATGGAAATAGGATGAGGGAAACAGATTGTTTCCTCCACAGAAGAATATCTTGCTGGTTAAAGTGATGCATTTTTAAAAATATTCTAATAATTTCAAAAACGGAACAGTTGCTTTCTTTCAAATCCTTATATATTTGTTTGCCAAAAAGCAGATGTGCAAATCTTAAATTGGAAGGTGTTCTGCCTTTTTTTTTTCTCTGTAGATTTTTTGAAAGGTGATTTATTAAGGGAATGGTAGAGAAAGACAAGGTGGTTAAAAGTGGAGGAAAAACAGATAAAGGTTTACTTTACCCTTTTAAAAAGGGTAGAATTACCTTTGCAAATGTAATTCATACTATAGAGCCATCAAGTTAATGTTTATAAATGGAATTTTTTAAATCAGCCAGGGTTATGAGGGTTCAGATAAGGAGTTGTTTTTATTGAAACAGTCACTGTTGGAATAAATTTTGAAGCAGCGTCAGTGGGGAAAGATCATTAAAAAAGTGAAGCATAATGTCCAGCAGTAATAAAAATAAGGAAATTAACTTATCAGCTGGGAACAGGAAGTATGTTTTCAATGTGAAAGTAATGTGTTAATGACTGTGAGCTTTGTGTTATTTTGTATTAACAGATGGTAGCCTGGAAAAATTCGGTAGCTTTTTGGCTTGTAGGCAAGAATTCTGCTTTGTAGTAATGGTGTAACTAGAGGGGCCCAAATGATGCTCAGTTTTGCTGTTAGGAAGTATCGTGCACTTCAGCAGAGCTGGTAAACACTGCACTTCAGAGACTTTGAACTGGAAAAGTCTTAACAGAGACAAATCTGAATTTTCAGTAACGCAGGTAATGAAGGAATTCTTGTCATATCAGGTGGTCCTTTTGTGGCTTACGAAACTAAGGATCTAATTTCATAATTAAATGATGTGCTGTACAGAACCAAGTTCTGACAATCTCATAATCACTTCATCTTCTTGAACTTGTGGTTTTAAACCATCCTTTCTGAGGGGATAACTCCCACCAGTGTAGCAGGAGAAGCATAATTGTAAACCCAGTGTCTTCAGTTGTCTTCTTTGTATCTGGATTGTGGAGCAACAAGAATTAGGTAATGAAGAACAGAGTGAAGGACTAATGAACTGAAGATGTGAAACAAGTAGGCTGCACTGCTTAAAGAGAGAGATTCATGGAGGCATGTGAAAATTTAGTATTTTTAGTCCTTGCTTCTAGGGCACCTCTCAGGTGTTATGAAAGCTGGCAACTACGTCACCTTTGCTGGACCTCATTTCCTTTCAGGCAGGCTATAATTTTTGCAGGAACGGATTGACACAACTTTTGCCTTCAGTTAGCAGTTTTTTGAAGTTCACTTGTGCATATGCCTATAAATATGCAAGCTAGACAGAATAAATAAGCTGTAAATAAATTAACTAGGGATGTCTTATGGAATGTTTCGTGTTTGAATTCTAGAAACCAATGAATATTATTCAAAATTTGGTTCAGCTGTTGAACTCATGACTGTGTCACTCACGTTGCTACTTTCTGTGCTACTTTCTCTTAATAACTGGGAAAAGAACTTAGAAGTAGATGATAGCAGTTGAGGAATTTTTTGTGGCCTTGTTTTCAATTGGACACGGCTGATTTTAAGTGGTTGGTTGTGATGAGAGTTTTTTTTCTGTAGATGGTTGAAACTCTACAAGTCTAATTAATTAATGCTTTTGTTGTGTCAGAACGGATTGCCTCAACTACAAACAATGGTAAAGTGTCTGCGTGGTACTGCTTTTAATGACTGCTTGAATTGATGATTTAATATTTATTATGTGGAAGTTGTAAATCTGTCATTTTGATTGGTTCAGTAGTAGTGTACTACTTTTCAGGTGTTAGTAATGTCCTGTGGGTCTGGATGTAGTTCCAAATTCCATGAACTGCCAGATGTAAGTGGTATACAGGCAGTGCATGTGCTGACTGATACATGCACAGGATCTGCTGTTGTTGTATTTGCCATTAGTGACAAATTTGGTCTTGTTTGTCTTAGAAAGCTTGAGTTCTGAAATGCAAATGGTCAGAATGAATTAAAAAATACAGGAACTTAGTTCTCTGTAAATTATTTTTTAAAAATGTCTTTGAAGTAATAAAGTAGTGAAGTAATGTGTATTAAAGCAAATTGTTTGAGAAGTCTTTTTTGAAGTTTTGGGTAAGCGCTGTCTTATATTGTTCTTTCTGATAATAGAAATTGCTAATATTTCCTGCAACATGAGATTAGAATACACAAAGAAATCTTACAGAGTAAATTCTATTGAGCTTTTCGTCTTTAGCCCTTCTCAGGGGAATTTATCTTGTCTAATATTTGGCTACCTAAAGCTCTAATCATCTGTCTATTTGGATCATCCTGCTGGCCACAGAGAAAATCTATATGTATAAGTAGCTTGTATATAAGTAGCTTGTTGCATATCAAAAGTTAGACAAGGTCAGTCTCATCCCTCTTCTTTAATTAAAATATTTAGAATTAGAAAGGTTCATAATTTTATAGAGCATTTCTATCATTACATTTTGAACATAGCTATTCCATCTTTAAACAAATAACTTTTGAAATTTGCTGATGTATGTCACAATTTCAGTCTGTGATGCCAAACTTTTTTTCCTTCCTTCCTTCCTTCATCTCCAGGATGCAGCATCTCTTGGGTCTCAGAAAGGTGGAATAACAAAACAAGGATGGCTGTACAAAGGCAACATGAATAGTGCAATCAGTGTGACAATGAGAGTAAGTTTATGAATGTCCTCCACATGATGAATAATGAACACCCTTATTAAAATACCACTGTGCCTTTGTGAAGTCCATTTTCATGTGCTTTACTTGTTACAAAAATAGCATAGGATGAATGAGAGATGCCTCTCATTTTTAATGTACCTAAAAAAAAAATGCATTAAAAATTAAGTAGGTGAGAGAAATGTAGTGTTTTAAAAATCTTTCTCCCCTATACTCTAGAATGTTAATAGTAGAAAAGAGGCAACGTAGTACAAATTCTTGTTTGTATTGCCTTTTTATTTAGAAACCAATGGTTATCACAATAAATACCTATTTCACGTATAACAGCTGCAGAGTAAGTTATAAATACCAAGAGGTAGAAAAAACTTTCAGATAATGCAGTAAAATCTTACTGCAGACTTTTCATTTTAAAATTCTTTCTTATGCATTACTGATTTCAGCATTGTTTTCTAATGATACTGATTAGGTTACATGCAAGTAAAAGCTTTTCTCCTGTAACTAACTGTGTAAATAGCACTTCTATGTTTTATTACATGAAACTGATTAATACCGGTCTTATAATTCTTTTTCTGTACACCTTTTTTTTTCACTAGTCATTTAAAAGAAGATTTTTCCACTTAATCCAACTTGGTGATGGATCCTATAATCTCAATTTCTACAAAGATGAAAAAATATCAAAAGAACCAAAGGGATCTATATTTCTGGATTCATGCATGGGAGTGGTTCAGGTAATTATAAATATTCTGCTTGCTCTTAATTCTGCATGTTATGTGAAATTATTTTAGAAAAATAAAAAAATACAGATGACTTTGGTCATAGATAAGCATCTGCTGTGCAGACAAACAACTGCATATGCTGCAGAAACAGTGAACAAGATTTTAAATTGGAAGACGCTGAATTTGAAAAATGTTTCTGAAAGCAGCAGAAGTTGTTGGTTGATGTCAAATATTTCTCAAAAACATGTAACAGAATTTTAAGGTGAAGGCATAAAACAGCATCCTGAAATTATGGCAAAGTAATGACTGCAAAAAAATTTAGTGTTAAGTTCAGTTACATTTTGTTCTTACATGGGCTGTAGAATGTTTTCCATAGCTTCTTGTGTGGGATTTGTGTTGTGGGAATTGTATTAAATTCAGTCATCCTTCCAGATGCTTTCATTTGACCTTTATAACATTACTTGTATGTGCTTCTCTTTATTAAAAAAAGTTACGGGCTTTGGTAAAAAATGTTTGTCTGTAGCAAGTGCCAAAGAAAAGAGGTGGGTTTTTTTTGTGATTCTGTTATGTATTTACAGTAAATTACTTAACTGTTTTGTTGGGCACAGCATGCCTGGAAAAAAGCATTGGGTTTTACAGTTCTGTTAACTTTAATAGAAATATATTTTAAAAAAACATTTTTTTTAGCATAAAGTTGTTTGAAAATTTATGCAAAGAGATACAACAAGTCTACAGAAGATTTTCTTTTGCAAATATTGCAATGGTGTTTTTGGATGCATATTTAATAGGCACTTCATATAAAAAGTCCTGTAACTATAGTAAATTTATTCGTATTGCAAGTTTACACAATATATAGGTTTACACAAGTTATTTTACTTTACATTTTCAGCCAGTTCCACTACAGCTACCTTCATTCATGTTTTTGAAACAATCAAACCAACCAACAAACAAAAAAAAACCAGTTCCTAAATGCATTTGTAGTCTTTATTTTCTAGTTCTTATAGTGCAGTTTTCCTTTAGCTTTTCTGATAAACTTCTTTTGCTTTGTTGCATTATAGCAATGCACTTGTTCAAAATGCAGACTGTTTTTGTTAAAAAATCTGAAATGCAGAATTGTTGGATAAAATAGCTTAATTTGATTTGTGAGTAGGTAGAATATAGAGGTATCATTGTTAGATCTTCTATTTTATTATAGAACAATAAAGTCAGACGTTTTGCATTTGAACTCAAGATGCAAGACAAGAGTAGTTACCTTTTAGCTGCAGACAGTGAACTTGAAATGGAAGAATGGATAAACACTCTGAACAAAATCCTTCAGCTTAACTTTGAGGCTGCAATGCAAGAAAAGAGAAATGGAGAATCTCATGAAGGTAAGTTGGGTTTCTCACAATGCTGGCAACAATGACTGCACACGTGCATTCAGAAATAAAGGCTGCTAAAACTTTGTTTTGGTCTTAAGAAATTGTACATCTTTTGTTTGTTGTAATGATAAGAATTTTGGCCATTAGACATCAGTATAGCACAGTTCTCTATTGATTTGGCCTGTGTAAAGTCTAGAACAGGATACTGAGACTGGCAGAAGTCTAGATGACAGAACCCATAGTGAAGAATCATCACCAAAGTAGTTTGAGGAAGAGAGACAACTGAGAAGGGACTTGTTTGAAAAAGCATAAAATACTGGTGAAAATGGAATAATCTATTCTGTCTGTCTCTAGACAGAACAAGGCATTGTGGTAACTTAAGGTACTTAGATGTAACTTTCATCACCACATTACAGGACCCATACAGATTGCTTGGTGTAGCTTATTTTCTATTGGAACTCTTTAAGTATGAATAAGCCAGACAACTATAAGGACTGTGGTGTAATTATAGTTAATAGTTGGGTGACCAAAGGATAGTCTGTATGTCCTCTTGTGTGTTTTTTGTGCTGAGAGTTGATGGGGAAAGAAAACTAGTATTGAACTAAGGGCATGCGTGTCCATAAGAATCCTGAAGAGGTAATAGGAAGTTGATCTACTTATAGATATCACTATGTGCCAAAGGAAAATTTAGAATTTAAAATTAGTTATCATGTATTTTGGTGAAGATCATCAGAACTTAACACGATACATTTGCAACAAAATCAAATAAAAAAAGGGATGCCTACAGCTTTGTGAAGGACGTTTTGGTCAGTGACCACCAACTCACCTTAGAACCAGAAGATGCTTATAGCTAGCAGAATGATTGATTTGTAACTCCAGTAACCACTGAAAAGTAGACTTCAAAGTCTGTACAGAGGGAACTTGCTTTGAGGCCAAGGTGCAGTTCATGGTAGAAAGAGTGACATAAATTTGTTCATGGAGCATCTTCTTTCATCACACAAATATCAAAATTAGTATTAAAACCAATGCTTATTTTCTAGGTAAGATTAGGAATAACTGCTAGTTTACCAATTTACGTAAGTGATTACATCTTTTAAGAAGTCATTGCATCAAAGTGAAATGATGGAATCAACTACAACCTGTTTATGTTAGTTGTTATTTTGAAAGGATATGAGTTACAAACTAACTACTCAGAAATAGCTTTGCTTCAGAATTTTGGAAGTCTTTTTTTAATGTGTGTTTTAATTGCAGATGATGAACAAAGCAAGATGGAAAGCTCATCAAGTAGTTTTGACAGTTATTATCCTGAAATTACAAAGGTAATTTATATAGTAAATGATTACCCAGGGTATGAAGTACTAAGCATAGTAATTAGTCATGTGAACTTCCAGTAAAGGTGAGTTGTTTCCTTCCAGTTTGTGGTAGTTTAAAAGCTCTTGTCAATTGGAGTAGTTATTGAGCTTCTCCATTTATTTTTTAAATTTTTTTAAGACAACCTGGCTGGTGTCTTCAATATTTATTTAAAGCAGCTCTACATGCTGTCTAAAAGCAGCATTTTTAAATTATTTTTTAGTTTATATTCTGCATGATTTGTGTTGTTTTCTTGCGTACAGGTAAGTGCTAATGCACTGATCTAGTTATGCTAAACTATAGAGAAGCTTAATAACAGTAATGATGTGAATGTGTTCTAAAGTACTTGTGCTTGTAATGAGGCTGCAAAATCATGGGTACTTTCTGTGTCGGCATAGTTCTTGGATTTTAATTTTGTTTTTATAAAAGTGTTGTAGGCTTCTGAATTACCTTTAAGATGAAACTCTAGAAACCTTTCCATTATTACATATCCATAAAAAAAAAACCTGGAAAAGATTGTTCAGCTAATGTTTTATGACAACATTTTTCCACTGTGACAATGTCTAATAAATAAGATGAAATAGAAAAAGAAGAAAATTGAATAGCATTGCACAGAAAATAATTGTTACTCTTCCATAGCCAATGTACAGACTTCATTATATGAGTGACTTGTGTGATATAAGTAAGTTTTGTGAATACTCTGTGGGAGAAATTTTTGTTGAATTATGAAGGGACTGGAGCTAGTAACATTTTTCTATTGTAGTTGCAGAATCGAAGCTTCATACTATTTTTTGCAGTTTTGAAGCTTTTCTCCTTGTTCATGCTTTAGAATGCTCTCCTGTTCTTTTCAGAGGGTCTGTCTGACCTAGTCACTAGTCCAGAAGGAGTACAGGGTATAAATCAAGACCAAGCAGTAAGACAGATGTTCACTATTTACCAGTACATCAAAAAACTCAGAATACAGTAACGGGTTTTTAGCACCCAAGCTGGTTCTTTGGCAGTTCTTAGTATAACCATATTATAATCAACTTTGTACATGCATACAAAAAACTATTATGTTAACCCCAGCTATAGCTGCATTTGGAAATTAGTTGGGATTGTGGTGCATATGATCAAGTTTGCCTTGGAAGAGCTGTAAGTATCAAACAGCATGGTTATGTGAGGCTATGGAAAAATAATTTCAGTTACAAATATAAAAAGACGTTCTTACTGTATGGAAGAGTTTTCTTTCTTTATTGTTGAAGCTATCAGAATACTTAGGTTCCATATAACCTCTGGTCTGAATTCTGGTGTGAAGGGCTGTAGCACCTGCATATAATTTTAGTAAAAAAATGCTGCTTCCTGTTTCCATAACCTTTCCATACCCTCTAAGCTAAATATTTTTCTAGCATGTTATTTTCCTTAGCTCTTTAAGCACTGGCTTTTTTTTTTTTCTTTTTTTTTTTCTTTTTTTTTTCCCTGTGGATGCAACCTGTTTAAATTTCTGTTTCCTTCAAAATAAACTATTTGGTTTTCCCATTCAAGTTCACATTTACTATTTGTATTTGTTCGAATGCATTTTTTTCTAGCCCTTTTTTTCCCCTGAGAAGAACAAGAAAACTTCTGCCTGCTTGCATTTTTATGTTACTTACGCCTTAACTTGATTATTTTATATAAATGCTGTTTCTTTTGAGGATTTTTCTCCTCTATTTTTTCTTGCATTGTTTTTTCAACTGTTATTTTTGGCTTGTTGGTGGGTTTTTTTTTTTTTTTTTTTACCAATGGAAGACTTTTAAGGCATTGAGCCTTCTTTTAAATAAGTTGTTTTATTATTGTTGTTGGTTCTGAGAGGAGACTCTCACAATAATTGACCCCGTATCCTTACGAAGAAAGAGAAATTCCTTCAAGGGAGACTTTAGAGCATCTCACAGTGAGGAAAAACAGTTTTCATAGAAAATGTTTAACTCTTGTGAGTAAATCTCTGAAACTTCCTCTTTCAAGTCAACAGCTGTTATTTTATAACATTAAATAAGATTGTTCTGTGCACTTCAACGTGTAGTGTGCACACACATAGCTGAATCTCTGTTCTACCTACCTCATGTTCCTTTTATCTGCAATTTAAGTACCAAGAGCAAATACAGATTTTTTTTTCCAAATCTTCATTAAATATTAAAAACAAACAAACAAACAAAAAAAAAACAACTAGAATCTAGACCTTGGTCTTAAATGCATGTGTTGCTGTCATAATCAGTGTGGCCAAGCACCTCCTTAACCATTATGTTTCTTAGTATGTTCTCAGGTAGGAAAGCATTGTCCCTGTTATGCTAATGAGGAAATTGAATTAGTCACTGCCAAGCTATGGGGAGAGTTGATGACTGTATATGTAGTACATTCTCATTTCTTGATTTCTGACCAACTCCATATGAATCTACCCATCAAAAATATATAGGTTTTTGTCTTGTCCCTACTGGGTAAAACACTTAAATCTAAAACCACTTAATATGCTTTAGCTGAAGAAATTTCTATCTTGCTCTTATGACTAGGTCATCTTCCTTTTCAGCTCTTGTAATTGACAATTCTTTTTCCAAGACGTACTCATTAGCTTCTTGTCATCTTTAAGCTTCATCACAGTTTAGTCTTGTATATCTTGATCAGCTGCTCAACAAGCAAAATCTGCCAGTACTCTGCTGGAATCGAGTGTATTATTCGTGTCTTCCACAGCAACTGTTGCCTTTTTCTCCTGTGCCCACTAAAGATCATAGTAAATTAAATCCACTGAGCCTCCATATTAAAAATCACACCTCAAAAGTTCCTCTTCTGTTATGCATCCTTTAAGTCGGTTTTTATCATTATTATTGGCCTGTAATAAGATTTGAGCTATTAGAGCTGGTAGTTCGTTGTTTGTTTTTTTTTTCTTGAGGAAAATCAGAAGTTTCTTCAACCTGACAAAGCAGATGCAGATATTCAGCTGATGGTCAGTGATGAGCATTTTGGTTTGGTAAAACCTTTTAAACTAGTACAGGATCATCCGAAGATAGATACCTGTCCGTAAAGTATGACTTTGTATTCCTGTTTAGCTATGCTCTGGGAATGGCAACTCTACAACCCTGTTAATTTTGGCTCAGGGATATGCCCATTTCTAATCTCTTCTGACTTTAAAAATCATACAAGACCTTTTTATGGAAAAGAAGCCTATGCATAACACCAGTTTTCACCTTCTATTTTGTTCCACTTCCTTTATTTTAATGTTAATATGTAGGTCTCCACAAATCCTGGTCAAGATAGATGTACCTCCTAGCTCTGCAAAGTAACTTTTCTGTGTGGGAGTTTTGTCTTCTGGAAGGTTTGGGTTTGCTTTTGTTTTTGTTTTCATCTACCCACAGGAAAACCACTTATTTGGCAGTAAAGCTCAAGGAAAAAAAAAGAAAACAACAAAAAAAATGTTGAGGGGGGAGCCTCTGATCACATTTCTTAACTTAGCTAACCTGTTGCTTACTGAGAAATATTATGGTCTCGTTGCAGCTCTAAGTAATGGGTAACCTACATTCATACTTTGTTTTTTACAATTAAATCATTTTCTGAAGATTATTTATTGTTTAAGGAAAGAATGTGCTACATGAGCTGCACTGCAGTGTACTTTCCATGAATTTGGAAACTTCCATGCTGCTGGTGTTGGTGGGTTTTTATATTTTGGTGACTGAGAAAGATGTAAGAGGAAAGGAACTGTCTCTCATTTTTTACTTGGGTGTGATGGAGCAATATAAACTAAGGAGGAGTTTAGGACTAGAGGGAATGGCCTCAAGTTGCGCCAGGGGAGCTTCAGGCTGGGCATAAGGAAATATTTCCTTGAGAGAGCAGTCTGGTGCTGGAATGGGCTGCCCAGGGAGTTGGAGGAGTCAATGACCCTGCAGATGTTTAAGGAATGCTTAGACGTTGTGTTGAGGTGCATGGTGCAGTGAGAACTATTAGTGTCAGGTGGACAGTTGGACTGGATGATCTTGTAGGTCTTTTCCAACCTTGGTGATTCCATGATTATATGAGTTTCGTAGTTCAGAGAGAGAAGAGTGTATGAATTAAAAGCATTTAAAGCTTTGAACATCACAGAGGGGGAAAGAAAAAAAAAAAGAAAAAGGAGTGAAATTGTGAAGTATTTTCATTTAATATATGATACTAAGACCTGTTTTCTTGTTTTGGATAGAGTACCAGAGAAGCAGAAATCAAGCTGAAAAGTGAAAGCAGAGTTAAACTTTTTGCCTTGGATCCAGATGCACAGGTTAGACTTTTTACAAGGAAGCATGTTATTTTCTTTTCTCTTGATCCTTTTGAAATGAAAACCAACATACTTAGATTTCCTTTTCTTTTGTCTTTTTAAAGAAACTCGACTTTTCTGGTATTGAACCAGAAGTGAAGCCATTTGAAGAGAAATTTGGAAAAAAAATACTTGTGAAGTGTAATGATTTATCTTTCAATTTGCAAAGCTGTGTTGCTGAAAATGAAGAAGGACCAACAACAAATGTAAATAATTATTTTCTATTAATATTGTCTTTAATGCTTCCTTGACACTGTTCTCCATGGCAAAATTTCTTACTCTAACTCAGGAACTTGGATTGCTTTTTCCTGCTCTTAAATCAAAATGAGAGCCTAAATCATACAATAAGTGGCTTTGTTACAAATCTCCTTGTGGTGTAGAAAGTTAAATTTTTCTTTTGCTGTCTTTTACACCTTGTCAGTACTATCTGGAGTGGCCCTTTGTTTATAGAAATAATACTTATCTTCCTTTCATACATGTTTTTATGGTAGTGCAGATGCCCGCAATGACACGTCATTGTTTTTTTAAATGTCTAGGTGGAACCTTTCTTTGTCACATTATCACTGTTTGATATCAAAATCAATCGGAAGATTTCAGCAGATTTCCATGTTGATTTGAACCACAACTCAGTACGGCACATGATAAGCAGCGCTCCTCAACAAATGATGAATGGCAGTGGTGATGGTTCACACAGGATTCAGGACGCTTATGAAACAATGTTACAGTATCCAAAGCAGGTAAGTGTTATTGAGACCTGGCTTGAATTCTGTTTAGAAAGGGAGAGTTTTCCTTAATACTTCACATAGTGTTCCATGATGTGATGTCAAGATTGTATCCATTTTCCGGTTATATTTATCTCATGTTTTGTTTTTAGGGAATATTCTCAGTCACATGTCCTCATCCAGACATTTTCCTTGTGGCTAGAATAGAAAAAGTATTACAGGGAAGTATTACACACTGTGCTGAACCATACATGAAAAGTTCAGATTCTGCAAAGGTATGTTATCTTCTTTCATGGCACTTAAAAAATACTGAGGCAAGATTGTTTGAAATTAATAAGTATTAGTCAGAAACCTACTTCCTCCTTCATGGGTGATGATGATTTGATATAGTAAGTTCTAGTTATTAGTAGCAACTATTATTAATTGAAATTTCATTTCTAGCGTTTTTTTATGAAAATTATTCAGCTTTTTTGTAACAACACTGATATATTTTTAGTGTCTTTGAATAGACTGATTTAATGAAATATTTATCTTCAGAGTGAAAATTGAGTTGAAACTACTGAACAATGAAATGTTAAATACAGGTCAGAAATCAACTATATGCCTCTCTTAGTTAATGCATCTCATCTACTATAATAATTGTTTCTGACTTTGGCTTGGTTTTTAGTGACCATACAATACTGTAGCTTTCCTATCTACACTCTTATTTTTCTTCAGAACCATTGGGATCATTAAACCACTGCTTTTACATTTAAAGTGCTTTGTAGGTTGGAAAGAACTCCACATCGCCTTTGGAAATAAACCACTGAAACATTTTAAGTTTGCAGAGATCTAGGATGTACCATTTTAATACTTTTGGAAACATCCTAGCAAGAAGCGTTGTCAGTTACTGCTTCTTGTCTGTCACTGGAGCAACAGTGTTTTAATTTTTTTGGCTAACAGAAATGCTTAAATAGTTGGATCAGGATGTTAACAGAGAAGGTTTTTTCGGGCAACAGTGAGTACTATTTATGTATCTCCTGTTTTCAGCTAGTGAAAAGAACAAAGGAAGGGTTAACTTTCAATCTCCCCAGGGGAGCATTGTTCTGGCCTGCTGATTTAATTCTGGCTAAGCTACATCTAAAAAACTGTATTTTTCACTTGATCTTAGTATAGAGCAGGCTACTGATTTGCTTTTCCGGGAATACTTGAGACTTTTTGTAGCTATCGTTAGAAAACAGCAGCATTGTATTTTAGGAGTCTGTATTTGAAGTGCATACTGTTACTGAGTTAAAACAAAACTGCTACTGCTTTTTGGTGGTCTTGGGCCTGAGCCACACAGGAGGGTTAATTAAGCCCAAGCGTTTCCAAAATGTGATGCCGAGTGCTGGAATTACATTGCCCTGTGATTCAGGAATGACCAAATAAGAACATTCGTTGTTATATTAACTTGGCGCTGTCCATTTCTGCTTTTCATTTGCTTATAACTTTATACAATCGAACATTTAGTTTGCCTTAATTAATTAGAAACAAAAGCAGAACAGTACTGACCAGCTGTGTCAGCCTCCCCCATATGTCTGTGCAATGAGCAGAATTACTACTCCAGTCAAGAAGGGAAAATGGAAACAAAACAATCTGTAGCTAAGAAATCACTTGTTCTTCTCCCCTTTAATGCTTTCTTGTTGTTAATAAGTAATTATTTATCAAGGTTCTGTACTTTTATGTGTAATTTCTCCCTTTTTACAGGAAAAGATAATTGAGAGTTGACCCTAAGGGCATAGCAGTAGTAGCAGTGTCAGCAGCATAGAGCAGAGATGGCTTTTCCTGCATCTAACAAATACTTTGCTCTGTACTGGCACAAGTGGGAATCCGATTTTTTGATAAGAGAAACTCACTGCTCTCTCTGAAGGTTCTACTTCAGCTGAAATATTTCAGCTCTGTGTTGAACATCTCCAACAGCTGGGTTTCTAAGCTCTGCTTGTTGGTTCAGCATAACAGAAGTTTGTTCACTTAACAGTTTACAAAAACAAACCGAACATTTTAACGAGAGCAGTTTTACAATGTACTTGATTAAAACTGTCCGTGTGATCTTCACACAACTCTTCTCTTATATGCTATATGTAGTTGAAATATAAATATTGCATCAAATTTCGTTGAATTATAGGATAGCTTGAGTTGAAAGGGACCTTAAAGGTCATTGAGCTTCAACCCCTCCAGCCGTGGGCAGGGTATTTTAATATTTCATCTTCAGGAATGTGTTCTCATACATTGAGTGGGTAATGAATAGGGGAGCAAGTGGGTGAAAAATAATTATTTTTGTCTGGAGTTGCATTTCTGTCTTAAAAAGCAGTTGAATTCTGCTCTAGCTTCCATGTGAGTTTTGTATATAATCAGGGACGTTCTTCTTATTAGCCATTTTTTTTTTCCTTATAATGATATTAATTCTGTCACTGAAAAATAGAATTTTAATTTGTTGATCTAAATATTCTGTTAGCATAGTTATTTAAAATATATTATAAAATCAAAAGATTTGCCTCAGATGTTGATTTGGTATTAATGAATATGTACAGTGGTTTTATAATTGGAGTGAGTTGCTTTGGTGGTTTGTTCCCTTTTTCCCAACTCACCCTCTTTTCTGATTATCAATCACTGAAAATTTACATACTAAAGAAGGCTGAAATCAAATCACTTGAAATGTGAGATCAGCAGGCCTTGCTGAACCTGGAATGAACAGTTAAGAGGTATTTTAATTCATATGATTTATATCACTTTTCATATGTGGGTTTTTCTTGTACACTAATGGTGAAAAAAAACATGGCTGTTTCTTATGTCACTTGCAGGTTGCACAGAAAGTTTTGAAAAATGCTAAGCAGGCATGCCAGAGATTAGGTCAATACAGAATGCCTTTTGCCTGGGCAGCCAGGTAAGGACAGACCTTGCCAATCTATATATCTTCCTAGCTTTTCTTTACCATTATCTTCTGCATGTCCCTTTAAAACGTAATCTGCTATAAACATTGTTTTTGTTTTACTTTGAAGTACGCAAAGATTTCTTAAAAGCAAACAAACTTTAGCTTTGTAATAGGAAAAGAGGTAAAAGTTTCATCACATTATTGTTCAAGTTATTGAATATTGAGAACTGTTTTTCATTGTTAACATTTTGATTTTACTGAGAATTAAAAGGTTATATTAAAACTCCCTTACAATGAAAGGAGTATTAAATACTTGGTACAAAGGAAGGTACAACGTGTTCTAATTTGTAGTAAAGGCATTTCTTCAAGAGAATTGCAACACTTGTGTTAACACGTCTGAAAGCTAATTTTGACTTTCAGGACATTATTTAAAGATGCCTCAGGAATGCTGGACAAAAATGCAAGATTTTCTCCTCTGTTCAGACAAGACAGTAATAAGCTTTCAAATGAAGACATGCTGAAATTGTTAGCAGATTTCAGGAAGTAAGTTCCATTTTCTTGCTTTATCTTATAAATAAATGTTTTGGTTATTAGATGCTTCAGTTGAAGATCATCTTCTGATGTATATATTTGTTTTCACTTCAAATATGGAAGTTGAACAAACATTGAAGGCTTGAAACATTTAGGTTTATTAGAGCAATTCTAATTGCTTTACAAAAGCATTTCCTTCTGTTGTGCAACAGTTAGCTAGAAGTGTATCAATTTGAGCAATCTCAAAAGGCAACAATCACAGATCTCAAAAGACATTTCCTACAGCTTCTTTGTTTCACACTTACTTATCAAATCTGATAAGATGGTGAGGTTTGTAAGAGGTATTTTAACTCCAATTTAGCAACTTTCTCAGTGTTTCGTTGAAGATTACGTGGCATTGAAATTGCTTGCAGTGATATTGAGTTTGAAATTAATGCAGTAAATTTGCCTGCTGCAGCACTTCACTTTGCAAATGAAGGAAATACCTTTGGTTATTTTAGTGTCTTGTTTGTGCAACTGCATGCAGGAATTTTGGTAAGAGATTGTAACATCTAAGGCTTGAGCTATTGGAGAAAGAATCAGGACTCCAAACAGAGTAAGTGGCTTTATAGCACAGGCTAGTCTTTGGGGAAAATTTAGCAGCTGCTTCCTCTGCAGTAGTTTCAGGATGTTACTTTTGCTTGTTTCCTATTATCTTTTTTTTTTCCTGGCATTTCTGAAAGCTTTGCATATTTAGCCCAACTCTGTTTTTTTGTGTGTTTTTTTTGTCTGCTTTTCTCCGTTTCTGTAGACCTGAAAAGATGGCCAAGCTTCCTGTTATTTTAGGAAATTTGGATGTTACAATTGATAATGTGTCACCAGATTTTTCAAGTAAGTATTAATAAGTGATGTTAAATAGACATTCAGTTTTTTTTCACTTCAGCTTTATATTGATTTTTGATATATTTTCAGATTATGTAAATTCATCATACATTCCCATGAAACAGTTTGAAAGCAGTACCAAGACACTAATAACATTTGAAATAGAGGAATTTGTTCCCTGTATACCAAAACACACTCAGCCGTTCACCATCTACAACAATCATCTTTATGTTTACCCAAAGCATTTGAAATATGACAGTCAAAAGTCCTTTGCAAAGGTGAGTATAGGCAAACCTATATTGTATTATTTTTTCTAGTTTGATTAAGATTGTTTATGTAATATGTTTCTTTGATGATCCTTCCAATTAAGTGTTTGAGTTCTTGTTTTTAAATACTTCTTTAGGCTAGAAATATTGCAGTATGCATTGAGTTCAAGGATTCTGATGAAGAGGATTCTTTGCCTTTAAAGGTTAGTCTTTGATTTTTGTGACTGATGAAAGAAAATACAGAAGACTTAGCTAAGCAGGGTGATAATACTTGGTTGATTTATCTAGTTTGAGATGGCAGCTTTCTGTCTTTCTTGGCATTTGGCATAGAATTAACTTCTACATGATTTGCCTGATTTTGAAATAAAAGAATACTAAAGGGCATTTACTTATTTATATCAACAAAAACTGCAAGAATAAATTATAGAGAACAAGTGTTTTTTGCCTATTCCAATACAAAACAATAAAGCTTTGTATGAAATACAGAACCAAACTCTATTTGTTACTGAGCTGCCACAGTGTATACAAGTAGGTGCCTGAAAGAAAGGAAGTAGAAAAAACATAGGAGTCCTGAGGTGAGACCACTGTGTTCAGTCTGCTGCACAGCAAGGAGGCTACAGGACATGTAATCTTATCTTTGCAAAGGGAACAAGAATGAAAGGCAGGCATTTTCAAATGACCTGCCTTTTTTTTTTTTTTTCATCCAAATCATTGATTGAGTGCTTCAATCCTTCATATTGTCAACTTCATAGCAATTTAATTTAATGTTTAATGCATTTATCTAAATTTCACAGTTGAAAAGAGATGAACTAGACTCAATGAGTTACCTGTTCTTAATTACTGCTAGTATGTGCCTATGTTAAACTTGTGATTATTTTTTTTAAAGATCAGTACTTTTGACAGTTAAAATTACATTACAAAACACTAATTCTTATTTAAGATTGCAATGCAACGTACAGTATTTCAAAGTCTAGGTGAAATATTTATCTGAGATTTTCCTTTTTTTTCCCTATTGTTAGTGTATCTATGGTAGACCAGGTGGACCAGTATTTACTAGAAGTGCGTTTGCTGCTGTTTTGCATCACCACCAAAATCCAGAGTTTTACGATGAGGTAAATTACCTTTCTCAAGTCATTTCTACTGTCTTATGGAAGTTTCAAAAATACTAGAAAAGGTTTGAGCATTATGAAGGTCTTGCTAATGATTTCAGTAAATTAGAGTCCGTCCGTTCCCCCCCCTCCACCGTCTTTCACTGCAATAAAAATTTGCAAGTTTTATACGTGTAACTTTTGAATCTTGCTTCAAATAACATAGAAACTGGAGATTCTTCTGTGGTGGACCATGCAACCAGTATGACCTGTCACTATTCTAGGCTTACACAAAGGTTGTGATTCTTTGTGTTTCAGATTAAAATAGAGTTGCCCACTCAGTTGCATGAAAAGCATCATTTGTTGTTCACCTTCTACCACGTCAGCTGTGACAATTCAAGCAAAGGGAGTACAAAGAAGAAAGATGTTGTTGAAACACAAGGTTTGTCTGCTAATGGTTTACTTTCAGTACTTCCTGGGGAGATTTTATGCGGTGTGTTTATCTTGTAAGCTATGGTTTTGTTGTCTTGATCTAGGTGATATTTTTTTATTATATTCTATTGACTGACTTGATACTGTCCCCCACGGCATCCTTATAACAAAGCTGAGGAAGTGTGGGATAGATGAGTGGACAGTGAGGTGGGTTGAGAACTGGCTGACTGGCAGAGCACAGAGGGTCGTTGTTGGTGGTGCAGAGTCCGGTTGGAGGCCTGTAACCAGCGGTGTTCCTCAGGGGTCTGTGCTGGGTCCGGTCTTGTTCAACATCTTCATCAATGACCTTGATGAGGGGATAGTGGCCACCCTCAGCAAGTTTGCTGATGATACGAAGTTGGGAGGATTGGCTGACACGCCTGAAGGCTGTGTTGCCATTCAGCAAGACCTGGATAGGCTGGAGAGCTGGGCAGAAAAAAACCGGATGAGGTTTAACAAAAGCAAGTGTAGAGTCTTGCATCTGGGGAGGAATAATTGCATGCACCAGTACAGGTTGGGGGATGACCTGCTGGAGGGGAGCTCTGCGGAGAGGGACCTGGGTGTCCCTGGGTGTGCCGGAAACTGCAGCATAGGAAGTTCCACACAAATGTGCGCAAGAACTTCTTTACAGTGAGGTGACGGAGCACTGGAACAGGCTGCCCAGGGAGGTCGTGGAGTCTGCTCTGGAGATGTTCAAGACCTGCCTGGATGCCTGCCTGTGCGACCTGCTGTAGGGAACCTGCTTTGGCAGGGGGGTTGGACTCGATGATCTCTGGAGGTCCCTTCCAACCCCTACAATTCTGTGATTCTGTGAAAGATTTCTTTAAGTATTTCTTCTATTTGAAATGTTTTCGAATGTCTGCAATGTGAAAATATTTTCAAACTCATACTGACAATTTATTTGCCTTTTCAATTATTTCTAATGGTGTGAGTTCAGTTCATTTGGCTATTTGACTTTTTCTGGTTTATGAATTGCGTATCAGAGGTGTATGTAAGGATTTATATAATAGATTCATAACATATTTAAAATGATTTTTCCTTCATGTTCTATAGTTGGCTATTCCTGGCTTCCACTAATAAAAGATGGAAGAGTGGTGACAAATGACCAACACATTCCAGTGTCAGCAAATCTTCCATCAGGCTATCTTAGTTATCAAGAAGTGGGGGTTGGAAAGGTATGGTATATAAAATCGCTCTTATTTAAAAAACAAAACAAAACAACATGGAGAGAAGGATTAACTGTAGTTCCAGAATCTGATAATATTTTTATTCACTTTCTAGTGGAAGTTTATTTCTTTTATAATTGAAATGGAGTGTTTTGCCAAAGTTGCACATCTGACTTCAACAAAAAAACTAACCCCTCAAACACAGGTTGGACACAAAACTTGTGACTAAATTCTGACTTTTAAAAGAATTTGAATCCACCTGCGCTAATGTAGTTTTTAATTTAAAGTGTTAAGTGATTACATGTGTTGTTATTTAGCTGATGTATTTAGGAAATGGGTTAGTTTCGTTTTGTAGTAATAATTGAAGTTAGTAATTTTTAAATATATTAAACTATTTTCAGCTTATGAAGATATGCAAATAATCTGAAGTCCTTTACTAAATTTTTTTTAGCATTTCATGCTGTCTCCTTTCAGTAAGTCCTTTATTCCTGAAAAAGTATTATTCTCACATCTTAATTTTTGTGATCTTTATACTTCACTAGTAAAATTTATGGTTGTATTTTTCAAAGCAGAAAGCTTGCAAAATTAATGGTATTAAAAAGAAAACAAAGAAGAATACAAAATGTAAAACGTGGTAGGAGATTTGATGAAGTGAATGAAATGCAGATAGAAAATTGACTCATTTTGGAGGAAGAGGCTTGAAATCAAGAGGTGCTACTCTCCTCCTATTCTGCCACCCTTTCTTTTTTAAACTTTACTGTAAGCTTTCCAGCCATTGATGTCTTCACATCTCTCATCTTTTCATATTGTAGGTATATTTATTCTTTATGCCTCTGCTGTTCATCTCTGATCACATCCATGTGTAGGAGGTCAGGACATAGATGATTAGCCATAATTTTAGCAGTAAAGTCTCTCTCTGATTATCAGGATTTACAGCTGAGCCTTCCCAGTCTCAGTTCTTTGCAAATGGAATGGAAAGGAAGCACTGCCTGCTCCCTGTCAGTAACCCGTGTTAAACCATATCAGTAGTTAATTTTTTTTTTAAGTTACTTTCTCTGAAAATTAGTAGCTATTTCTCTGTAGCCAAAAATTTCTCTGCACGATTTTAGGAGAGACATGAATTCTGAGACTTAAAAGTAATTTTCTTGGCCAGTAGGGAAACCACAGTGAGACTTGGAATAAACAAGAAAAACCCCAAAACAAAGAAAATAACATTCGAGTTTCATAAATGCTTTAGGTAATGTTGCCTGCATAATTTTCCTTTTTTTTCTTTTTTTTTAAATGACTTTATTCATTGTACACATTTCAACCTGTATAGAAAAAAATTGTGTCACTATAAGAAAGCACTGTCTTACTCTAGTAATACTGCTATTTTTTTTTTTTTTTTTTTACTTCTACATGTCTGTGTTCAGCATTCTGGTCCTGAAATTAAATGGGTAGATGGAGGCAAACAACTGTTAAAAATATCCACTCATCTAGTGTCAACTGTGTATACTCAGGTGAGTTACAAAACAAATTAGAGTTCTAGGAATAATGTATGATTGTTAAATTCAATATGCTGCTGTCTTACCATTCTTGCCTCCTGGACTGCCTCTATGGTTTCTTTCTTTTACATCAGCTGTGAAAAGCAGCAAATGTTGAACTGTGAGTCAGTTGCCTAATGTCAGCCATTCTAATCTGAGTCTTCTGGTTAGATGAGGGGTTGTAGTTGTCTGCAGGATATTTAGTGGCGTGTTGCAAATCAATGAGTCCTGTTATGACTACTCGTAAAATAGATAATCAAAATTGAGGGAAACGTGTGTTTAAAAACATGTGTGGAATGGTTTGGATTGGGGGGACCTTAAAGATCACCCAGTTGGAACCCCTCTGCCATGGGCAGGACTGCCAACCACTAGATCAGGCTGCCTCCAGCCACATTCAACCTAGCCTTGAACACCTCCAGGGATGGCGTACCCACAGTTTCTTGGAGCAACCCATTTCAGTGCCTCACTACCTTCATAGTGAGGAATTTATTCCTTTTATCTAATATAAATCTCCCCTTTTTCAGTTTAAAGTCATTCCCCCATGTCCCTTCACTACCTGCCCATGTGAAAATTTGGTTTCCCTCCAGTTAAGTACTGGAAGACCACATCAGGTTCCCCCTAGAACCTTCTCTTCTCCGGGCTGAACAAGCCCAGTTATCTCAGCTTTTCTTCATAGGAGTAGTGCTCCAATGTTATATGGAGACAAAGTTAGTCTTCAGAAGTAGCACACTTAGATACAGCTTCCAAAATTATGTACACCAATGTGAATTTACATATATATACACACTCTAATGTGTTCTGTTAAGAATTATGGGAAGCAGTATTAAGTACTGTTTAATTTGTGTTTCTTTTTTGTCATTCTCAGGACCAGCATTTGCATAATTTTTTTCAGTACTGCCAGAAAACTGAATCTGGAGCTCGTGCACTAGGAACCGAACTTGTAAAATATCTCAAGGTATAAAATGGCACTGGATAACAGATTATGCTATTGATTTATACTTTTGTAAAACCTATGAGCCTCAGACATTATCTAGGTCTCATTTATGGAATATGTAAGTATGGACAGAAGAAAAGATGCTTCCTAGACCAGATGAATGTGTATTATAAGACGAAACCATAAGGAAATGAGATGGTATTGGTTAGCATTACGGCTGATAATTTCAGAACACCAATGGCTGTTGAATTAATTCAAACATGAGAATGGAGAGGAATTGGTAACTGTGGTTTTTTTTTTTTTAAGTTTTGTTTAGGAGTACACAAGTGTCATGTCTATAGTTCTCTTAAGATTAGATCAACAGAATACACGCTTCCCACAGCAATTTTGTCTTTACCAAGTAGGCCATATTTTTAGTGTGGAATCCCAAATTCAGTCATCTTACAATCCACATCAGGTATCACAAGTAACTCCAGGTTTTCTGGGACACGAGAGCTCATGTAATTAAATGCCATCTGTTCATAAACTAGATTGTCTGTTACACTTATGTAAGAACTTAACATATTGAATATGGTACACCACTTCAACTGTACTTGCTTTGTGATCTTGGTTACATCAAAATCCTGGTTCTGAGCAATCTCCCCTTCCCTAAAACTTCAGGACACTATAGGTATACCTGACAGCAGGTGCTACCAAGGGTGTATAGTGTCTTGGTTAGATCATGTTTTGGCAAAATCCCTGGGTCAGAATATTGCAACAGCAGAGTTTGTTTAAACCTCTTGCTTGTCATCAAATACATGGATGCTCTCACTACACTGGTTGAATGTGTCCCACATCACTACATTATGCATCATATAGACTTTGTTCCACTTGCTTTTATTCACTGCTACCTTTATCTTCTGTGGTAAATACAAACTACTGCTATCCTCAGTTCCTGCAGGCCAAATTTCTGTTTAGCTAGGCCTCCCAGGGGGCCAGATACTTTTTGCTTTTACACACAGAGATCTTAAATAGCAAGCAATATTTATTTCCTCCACTACATCAGTAATATTGTGCCACTGGTAAAGTGGCTGAGTTGAACATGACAACTGTTCTCCTGTTTGTTCTATCTGTTCTTCCCCTCCCTAACAATATTTTACATAAATTCATCTAACATTTCTGATTAGAATTTCAGAAACTCACCTGACTCAAGATTTTAATATGCTCTCCTTCATATTTTATGAGTCCAAACATCACTTAATAATGTCTCAGAAGTTGATGTATTTTCTTGAAGTTCCCTGCACAGCTGCCAGAGATATCAAAGGGGCACAGCTACTAGCCATCTCAGTGTAACTGGATAATCAAAGGCATCATCAGCTTACAAGTCAACTTCTGGTAGAGTTTTATTTAAAACAGCACCCTACCCAAAAAGGTCTGCATTCTGGACAAAAGTGTGATCTGAAATTCTATTCACATGTTTACCCTGTACTGATATTCAAGGCTTACAGAAAACATAATGCACAGCACAGCTGTTGTTTCCAATGGAAATCTAAGTGCTTGTAGGAAGGAAGACTGCTTCAAGTCCTGAATGTGCATATAGGCAAACATTCAAAGACAAACAGCAACTTAACAATAAATGAAATTGTTTGAAATATGTTGTCCATATGCATGTTCAGCAAATGTGCTTCCCCTCTGACCCCAACAGACTTTTAACTCTAGAAAATTTTGTCGCATAAAACTGTGTAGGATGAATTGCCATATACTGACTTGTAAAGTGTAGACAATCGTCCAGACATATGTTGCATGTGATATAAAGCAGAGGATTTCCAAGTGAAATCTTTTTCTGTAGGTACTGCAAAGAGTCTGTGCTCTCAAGTCTGTGCATATGCAAAATGGACAACATATCTTGAAGAAGTTGAATTGTTAGTAGTTACCAGTCTCTAGTTTCCAGAATTATGTAGTTTGGGACTACATAGCAAGACAAATTAGAATGACTAACAAGTATAACTTCTATTACAGTTATCACTGCAGGTAATGCAGTGACAGGTAAGCAATCTGTATGTTTTTGTGGAATTTCTATTTGCTAAGTGTCTGCATTCGTGGATGAAACAGCAAAGTATGTTAGAGTGTAGGTTTAACCTTGCTGTGTTATGCAGTTAATAATTTAAATAAAACAGTAAGTAGTATGCATGTAAACTGAAAAGTTGACATAACATTTCTAAAAATGTTTTTAATGAAACTCAATTTAAGTTACTTGAACATTGAAAATATTTACCAAACATTTATGTTGGAAACTTCTCAATTGTCTTCTTTGTAATTACATTTCAACAACATTAAATAACACAGTTTTTGGAAGACTTGCGGTCAGTTTTCTAGTTTCAGAACTTGTGATTTATAGTGTCCCTGTTACAAGGTAATGATACTACTGTTCCTTTCTTTCAGAGTCTTCATGCTATGGAAGGCCATGTGATGATAGCTTTCCTGCCAACTGTTCTCAACCAGTTGTTTAGGGTTCTTACTAGAGCAACCCAAGAGGAAGTTGCAGTCAATGTGACAAGGTAAAGAATTTGAAGTGCGACACAGAATTTAAATGATGACTGGCTTATCACAGGTTTATAACTGAATAATGTTTTTCTATTGCATTCAAGGTGTTTCTATGATATTTTACTAGGTTTTTGTTTCTGACTTCTATTTAGGGTCATTATCCATATTGTTGCTCAGTGTCATGAAGAAGGCTTGGATAGCTACTTAAGGTCTTATGTCAAGGTAGGCAAAGTTTCAAAAGTCAGTTAAAAGTAAATAAACTCTAAAAGAAATATATATACATATATATATGTATATGTATATATGTATATATATAGATGTACCTGTTTAACTTCAATTGTTTCACATTATGTCACAGTTTCTATTCTGTTCTGTTTTTCCTCCCGAAGTATGCTTATAAAGCTGAACCCTATGTTGCTTCTGAGTATAAGACAGTACATGAAGAACTGACAAAGTCAATGACAACAATTCTGAAGCCATCTGCTGACTTCCTTACAAGCAACAAGCTACTTAAGGTATATATTGAACTATACTTTTTACTGTGTGATCTCATCTAATCGTAACTGAAAATTAGGAACAAATTTTTTTGAAGTAACTGTTCAATGCATGTGTCAATTTTACAGAATATTTTCTTTTCTCTGCAGTATTCATGGTTTTTCTTTGAAGTTCTGATAAAATCAATGGCTCAGCATTTGATAGAAAATTCTAAAGTGAAGGTATGTCAACTTCTGCAAAATGAAGTTATTATAATAGCAATGTATGCAGTGTCTTCTTTCTTTCATCACGTTTTTATTACATATTAGAAGAAAAAGATTTTTAAAATATAGTTTCTACTGTAAGAAAAGGAGAGAGACAGAGAGAGCAAAGCAGGAGGAGAAAACGGAGAAAAATTTATAGGGCTATGTAGGAAACTATAAAGGACAGAAGTCCTTTGATCTGTTCCCTATTAGAAGGATCTTCATAAATCACTAGACCTTTTAGTAAGATCATTTAATATTTGTGGTGCAGTGACTTTGGAGGTGATAGTCAACACTATTAACTTTGATGCAAACAGTGCTGTTCTGCTCCCAAAGAAGTAAAATTGCTTCTGATAGGCTTTTGGTGATACCAAATCATGTATTTCACTGGTAGGCCAATAGTCATGACAGAAAGAACAGTTGAACTCACCCAACTGATGAAGGGGCTTTCTGACTACACAACACCCATCTGAAGAGCACAGATGCAAATAATTTGCCTGTGCTCCCTGAGCTTAGCCACACCTCTTTACCAGGTGCTCAATCACCAGTTCAAGTTCCCATGCAACTACCCAAAAATATGTGGTGCTCTTTGTGAGCTGCATTGTAGCTGTGGTATTAAATGACTTGGAAAATGCAGTTTAAGACCATAAACCTTGTATTTTAAGGCTGCTTGATCTAGAAATAGGTATTTAGCTGGGTAGTGGAACAAGGCATTTAGGTGGTGCTAGTGCTACATATTGACACAGTAAGCCTTTATCACTGGCTTCAAATAAACTCTCTAGGGAACTATGACAAGTATCTTGTTTAGGATTTTTTTAAAATACAAATATATGCACAAGAGGGCTTCTATGCACGTAGTGTAGTGAATCCTTCTGGATTTAAGATATCAGACTTCTTGCTCATGTGTTAACTGAACAGTTGTTAGGAAATTCCTAACAATTTCTAGCAAAAAGACAAAACTTGTCAACTACTAGTCAACAAAAATGCTGTTAATTTAAACAAAGTCAGCAAATTATTCAGATATTCTTTTTTTCTGCTTCAGTGATATCTGTTCAGAGACAGCAGAATCTACAAATTTAGATTTCTTTTACTGATTTGATATTCCTTCAGCAAAGAGTTTTTACCTCAGTTCATTCTTTGAATTAGGTATTTCTTATTTCATGGCAGTATATTTTGAGTTTATAATTACTTAATTATATTATTTAATTAATAAATTAAATGGAAATGAACAATTGATAAAGCAGAAAACATTCGTTTTATTTAATGTTGAAAATTTCCAGAGATGTCTGGTATTGAATTAGAATTGTATAATTTAAAAGATGATATTGGAAATAAAATCATAGAATCATAGAATATTCCGAGTTGGAAGGGACTCATGGAGTCACAGAGTCCAACTCCCAGCTCTGCACAGGACCACACAAAAATTAGACCAAATGTCTGAGAGCAATGTCCAAATGCTTCATGAACTCCAGCACTTGGGACAGTCACTTTGCTCTACCTGCTAGCAATCCATGCTTGATGCACTCCAGCATACACTTGTCCTTCCTGGCTGTCTAGGCACACTTGCTGTCAATAATGACTCCCAGATCCCTTTCAGCAGCACTCTCTCCAGTGTTGCATCCACCATATCTCTGTGTATAGCTAGGGCTGTTCCTTCCCAGGTGCAGAATCCAGCACTTGCTCTTATTAAACCTCATGTGGTTTGTGATTGCCCAGCTCTTTAATTTGTCTAGATCTCTCTGGAAGGCATCTCCATTCTCAACAGAGTCGGCAGCTCCTCCCAATTTATTATCGTCATCAAACTTGCTCAGAATCATAGAATCATAGAATCACTAAGGTTGGAAAAGACCTAAAAGATCACCCAGTCCAACCATTCACCTATTCCCAATAGCTCCTACTAAACCATGTCCCTCAACGCAACATCCAGTCTTTCCTTGAACACCCCCAGGGTCGGTGATTCCACCACCTCCCTGGGCAGTCCATTCCAGTGCCTGACCACCCTTTCTGAAAAGTAATACTTCCTCATGTCCAGCCTGAATCTCCCCTGCCGTAGCTTGAAACCATTCCCCCTGGTCCTATCACCAATGACACGAGAGAAGAGGCCGACCCCCAGCTCACTACAACCTCCCTTCAGGAAGTTATAGAGAGCAATGACGTCTCCCCTGAGCCTCCTCTTCTCCAGGCTGAACATTCCCAGCTCCTTCAGCCTCTCCTCATATGGCCTGTGTTCCAGACCCCTCACCAGCTTTGTTGCCCTTCTTTGAACATGTTCCAGGGCCTCAATATCTTTCTTGCAGTGAGGGGCCCAAAACTGGACACAGTACTCGAGGTGCGGCCTCACGAGTGCTGAATATAGGGGAAATGCCCACATCCAAGTAATTTATGAAAATGTTAAAGAGAACTGGCCCTAAAATGGAGCTCTGGGGAACCCTACTAGTGTCTGGCCACCAGCCTGAAGCAAACTCATTTACTCTTAACTGGGCCCATCAGCCAATTGCTCATTCATCTTAATATGTTTTTGTCTATCTATATGCTGGACAGTTTTTCCAGAAGGATACTGTGAGAAACAATATCTGAAACCCAAAAGGTAACATCAACTGGCTTCCCTTAATCAACTAAATGGATGACTTTGTCATAAAATGAACTTTAACTTGTTAAACAGGACTTGCCTCTCACGAACTCATGTTGGCTGTGACCAGTGACTGCACTGTTCTTCAGGTGTTTTTCAAGAACTCCCTGAGTATTTTTCTCCATAATTTTACCAGACACTGAAGTGAGACTGACAGGCCTATAATTACTAGGATCATCTTCCCTTTCTTGAAAATTGGAACAGCATTTGCCAGCTTCCAGTCAACTGGGACCTCTCCAGATTTGCAAGACTGCTGGAAAATAGTTGAGAGGTCTCACAATGACATCAGTTAGCTCTGTGTCCCTGCTTAAAAAGTGACCATTCTCATCAAGTAACAGACCAGTGTTCTCTCTGGTCCTCCTTCTGTTCACTTTTTTAGGAAAAAAAAAAAAAAAATCTTTTTTTTATGGTCTCCCACACTGTTGGCCAGCTTCAACTCTAACAGCTTTAGCCAAACAAATTTTCACCATACGAAGGTGAACATTATCCTTCTAGTCTTCCCACTTGCATAAAAAATGAAATGAAAAATGCAAGGTTTTTCAGGGGTTACTTACCTGGCAGTCCTGTCAGTACTTTTTATATTCAACTTGGAGCAGATGTGATTTTTCTAATTACCATAATGTGGTGTAGCTGGGAAAGCTTTTTGAAACATGACGTGTGAAGCTTGTTTATCTAGAGGACATAAGCTGGGTTTGGTACATAATATTCTGGAAAAACAATGACATTGTGTACTAAACAGAATTTATATAATTTTTCCTGATACCAACAGACCTACACAAATCTTCACAAGTTTGGCAGCAGCACACTGGTTTGAAAAAAGCTACAGAGAAACCACTAACTTGTTCTCATGAAAACCCATTCCCTTAATTTAATTACAAATTTCTTTCAAGAATGATTCTATTTTTAAATTGAAATCAGATGGTAGATAAAATAAGTATGGTAGAATATAATCTTTTTTAAAGGAGGAATCTGTGTAAACAAATAGAAAAGAAATGCAACTCACTTCTCAGAATGACTGGACCAATGTCCGTGGTTTTAGCATTCTCTCCATTAATCTGCATCTCTTACATGGTGAGCTGCCATGGCTACCATTGATGAGAGTTCACATTACTAAAAGTTTTATTGTTATTTATTTCTTCCACAAGTGACTCATCTGCTCAGAGCTGATGAACCTTTACTGACCCATGTGATCCTACAAACAAATTATATTTGGAGAGCACCAGCACATGTATCTAAGGAACAAATTCAATTTAACAAGATTTTCATTTTGGGGAAAACAAATTGGTAAAGGAACAGTATGTCAGCAACAGATGCCATAGATACATAGATTTGATTACTTGGTACAGCGTGATCATAAATAAGGCAGACTGAGCAAATATTGCTCATGAGAAAACATGAATTTTCAAAGTACTGACTGCTGATTCATTTTATTTATGATTCCACATTGCCAGAAAGAATTAGGTAGACCACAAAAATGCGATCCAAATACTGATGGCACTTTTCACTTTTTAAGAGTCTTCATTCTATAAAGAAGCACAGTGATTTCATAGATATTAGTAAGTTCTATAGATGTAAATCTAAGATGGTGCTATAGAGACTGCTGTAGAGATTTTCATATATAGCACTGAAACTACCAAAATGTTGCTGTATTTTTTAATTAGGACTTTTAGATGTTGCTGTAGAAGTGTATAGTAATCATACTTAATTTAAAACAAACTAACTAAACTTGATACTGGAAAATATTTTTCCATTTTATATTTGTTTACAATCCTTGCTGTACCAGTTTACTATTGAACTTCATTTAGATTCAGATTGTTTCTATTCTGTATCACAGAATCACAGAATGGCTTGGAAGGCTTAAGAAATCATGAAGTTCCAGCTCCCTGGCCATGGGCAGGGTTGCTGCACACTAGGCAATTGGATTGGTTCCTGTGCCTCACCACCCTCATAGTGAAATATTTAATCTATTTCTCTCCATTTGTTTAAAACCATTTCAGTTGTCCTATCTCTACCTGCTTATGTAAGAAGTTGATCTCCCTCCCGTTTATAAGCTCTCTTTAAATACTGGAAGGTGGCAATGAGATCTCTTTGGAACCTTCTCTTCTCCAAGCTAAACAAGCTCAACTTCATAAGACTTTTTTCGTAGGAGAGATGCTCCAGCCCTATGATCATCTTTGTGGACCTTTTCTGGACCTGCTCCAGCAGCTCCACATTTTTCTTGTGTTGTGGTTCTCAGGCCCAGATAACAGTGGAGCTCACAAGGGCAGAGTAAAGAGGTACAACCACCTCCCTTTGGCCCTGCTGGCCACCCTTCTTTTGATGCAACCCAGGGTACTGTTGGCCTTCCAGGCTGCAAGTACGCCACTGCTCCCAAGTTGTTCTCCACAGGGCTGCTCTCAATGACTTCTCCAAGTCTGCAGACATATCTGGGATTGCCCCCAACTCAAATTCAAGTTCAACTCTTCAATAGGAACAAATTCTCTTAACATGCACTTTTTAGATTCTAGTGCGCTCCTGTATACTGCTCTGAACTGCTGTTCATAGAATCATAGAATCAATCATAGAATCATAAAATGGCCTGGGTTGAAAAAGACCATAATGATCATCTAGTTTCAACTTTTCTGCTATGTGCAGGGTCACCAACCGCCAGACCAGGCTGCCCAGAGCCACATCCAGCCTGGCCTTGAATGCCTCCAGGGATGGGGCATCCACTGTTCTTTCTCATTCCTCACCTGCAGTACTATGAAATAAGGTTCATTGCTAAAAAAAAAAAAAACACCTGCTGGAGTGAACTTCATCGTGGATTTTTGTCGTTTTCTCCACATTAGATGTTAAAAAAATTTCACATCTTTTAAGAACTAACCTCACTGTCATCTTCTCTGTGATGTGAAAGAAAAAGAACAGAGCTCACCTCTTGTTTGCAAGTATTCTCATTTCCAGACATCACTTCTTGTTTTAGAGCTCCTCAAAATACCAAACATTACTGTGCTAGCTTTTTTTTTTTGTCCTATTGGCTAAACTAACAAACAGAACCTATTCTGGTATTTCCTGCTTAGGAGATTGGATAAAATGCTGCACTTACAGGTGTAGCAAAATTATTTCTATAGCAAGATTTTTATGATATTTAGAAAGAAATACTGTCCAGTAAAAGCTGACTTACAAAAATATCGATTGACTAGCATACCTACCACTGGAAATATTTAATTTGTAAATGTTATATCATTCATGAATGCTGTTGATATTTATACAGGGATCTTTTCAGCCTTAACATTTAGCAACCTAATTTTTCAAAAAGATAGAACCAGAGACTTTGGAGCACAGTTCAGACACAAAGAGCAAATTGTATAATTGTTGATTCATGTAGTTCTTGTTCTTTAATCATGTCTTGTTCTGCCTAGGAGTGTCGCTTTCAGTTTAGTTCAGAAAAGTATACAAGTAACAAAGTATTCAAAGCACTTGGATATGTTTATTTGACAGTTTTCATAAAGAAAAGGCAGAATGAGTGTACAGTTAAAACAGTTTTTGTCTAAGCCAGCTTCTCCTTCAGCCCCACCCCACCAGTCATTAAGAGCCTTTAGACAAAATGCAGTTGAGTGAAGACTATAAGATGTGGTGAAATAAAGAGGGTCTACAGAGGCAAAATGCTGAAGAGAACTCAATGAGCAATACCAGTTGATAAAATCATTGATAAATATAATGTGCACAGTCACCAGAAACAAGTAGATCATGAACGTAGAAGAAATCTGGTAAGCCAATTGAAGCTAAAAAACTTAAAAGCAAGGGAAAACAATTCTGAGCGGAAACTTAGAAACGTAGGGAGTAAGATGCTGAAGCTTGGAGAGCTGAGATTTGAAGTGACTGATAAGAAAGAGAAAGAAAAAAATCACGAATGAAAATTTTCGTAGTGGCTGAAGTCTGCAGGAGTTACAAAAAATATAGTTGCAGAACAGCAAAATCTTTTTCATGACAGAAAAGGGAGTATTAAAATGCAACTTCTATGCATGAGTAAGCTGGTACTGCTTTGGAAAGGAAAACAGGCAAAACTCTGAGATTCCCATTTATTCTTAGCTTCTTTTATCAGAAGTATTTTAGTATAGAGCAATACTAATACTTAACGCTTACAAACTTGTATGCATATGGTTTTTCCATCAAACAGAAAAGATTTGCTTGTTTGAATTTTTAATAACACAATATTTTCATTCAACCAAGTGAACTTTTTTCCCCCCTCCGTTCAAAATGGCTCAGGAAGATCTTGAATTTAATGAAAATGTTCTTTTAAATTATAATGACAAAAAAAAAATTTCAAACTTTCATTCTTCCTTCCTTGTCAGGTATTTTTTTTATCTTACCTTAAATAAGTTTTCTGATGTATTTTATCATTATAAGCCATATTAAGTGCATGTCTGAATTTTTTTTTACTAGTTGTTGCGAAACCAGAGGTTTTCAGCTTCCTTCCATCATGCAGTTGAAACCGTTGTCAATATGTTAATGCCACACATTACTCAGAAGTACAGAGACAATCCAGAGGCTTCAAAAAATGCAAACCATAGCCTTGCTGCCTTCATAAAAGTAGGTGCATGAGTGTCTTGGGTTTTGTGTTTACTTTTTCTATACTACTGTTTCACCATGGAGTTTAAAGAATTTTAAAGTCAACTTTCATAGAACTGAGTGTGCATAATGCTTTTGAAGTTTAATTCCACAGTCAGGCTAAAATGCACTGAAGTATGATTTGCCTTCTATATTGAAACAGCCATCTGTTCAGAAGTTTGATTTTAATGAGTTTGTATTTTATCAAAATTTTATTTCTTGTTTTGTTTTCCCCATTCAGATATCACCTTGTTACTCTCTAATCCAACAAAATCTTCATGCACTGGGTTATGTTTTATTTACACATATTTTATACGGACTGGTTTACAGTGTCTTTCTTTTTTCAACCAATAAAAACTATGAGGAAGAAAAAAGGATGGGAAATAAAATGATAGATACAGCTGCTAGTGCCATGTCATTTTTGTTTATGCCAAGATAGATTTCTTATCTTCTAACAGCTCTTTTATTTTTAATTTGTTTACATTCTGGATTCTAAGAAAAATTTGGTATGTGTCTGTGTATGTATGTACTTAGTTTGTTTTGTTTTCTTACATGCAAACTGACTGAAATATCAATAGTGTGTTCAGAAAATTAACTAGTAAAATACAGAAATATAGTAAGTGGATACTGAAGCAACATTTAATCATTTCTATCTTGTTTGCTTTTTTTTTTTTGTTTGCTTTATTTTCCCCCAGAGGTGTTTTACTTTTATGGATAGAGGTTTTGTTTTCAAGCAAATCAATAATTACATCAGCTGCTTTGCACCAGGAGATCCAAAGGTATTCTGCTTTTAAACAAAATAGTTTTAAGAGTTGCTTGTTGCATATGGGTAGAGTCCTACATTAAGGCTTTAGATTTATGTCTAGCTACATTTAAGCATGTTTCTTAGAAATTTCTACGCTATGCCTATATGATTTTCTTTTTCCATGGAATCATTTTTTCGAATTTTGATTCCCATTTCCAGCTACAACTTGACCACCGTAGAGCATGTATACTACTCTAGAATATGTACTGCCCTCTAGAAAAAGGGAGAGGAGAATGGGCAACACTAAGCAGGAATTTTTAGCATGAACGCAAAAGGCTGAAGTTGGAAGCATTTGATGTGATCTGTGATTTCTGATAAGTTTCTATCAGTTTCCTGTAGTGGGAAGAACATGTATCAGTGGTACAAAGGATTTCTTCTGCAAAATCAAACTTCTCTTAAATCAGTGTGTAATATGTTATAATATGCTATATGTCCAAGTAAATTTGGACATAGTAGGATGTAATTAGAACATACCCAACTGTCAAGTATAAATTGTTCTGAAAGTACATTTTGATGAGCTACAGAACATTTGCAGGTCTCTAATTCCTTGCACTGGAAGATTGCGAGAAATCACTCTCGTGTAAGAAAGCTAATTTTATAATCTTAATCAAATTACTGCATCAGTTGTTTAATTTATACTTTATTTTTGCAGACACTTTTTGAATTCAAATTTGAATTTCTCCGTGTAGTTTGTAATCATGAGCACTACATACCTTTGAATCTACCAATGCCATTTGGAAAAGGCAGAGTTCAGAGATACCAAGGTAAATTCTTTTAAAGGCATGTATGTTGTGTTTTTTAGATGTCACTGTTTTAAATGGAAGCCTAAAGTTTTAATCTCTTCCTTTAAACTGAGAGAATAGTTTAGGTAGAATAATCTATACAAAGCACCTACTCATTAAAAGATATGATAAAGTATGTTTTTAACTCTTGTCTCTCTTTCCCGTTCTGATGTTAAGTTTTGAGTAGTAATTAAATTTTTATCAAAGTAATAGAACAAGATTTGGGAGTAAGAGCTAGACAGCAGCACAGAGCTTGTGTTTGTCTTTGACTTTTTCCTTTTATTCCTAATGGAGCTGCAAGACTAGAGAAAATAGTAGTTCTGAATACACAGTAAAAGATTATGTAAAATCCTGTTCCCTGGTGATCTAGGATTTTGGCCAGAATAAAAGACCTTTATTTGAAATCTTTCTGGCCCTGTTTTGGTATCCCAAGCAAAAGAGCTCTCGGGTGATGTGAATGGTTCTTGTGTGCATTTTAAGAAGGACTGTAGAAAGCCTGTGCTTTCTGATTTCATGATTCCTATACTGGGAGAGTTTCTTTTATGTTCTCCATTTACTGCGTATAATAGATGGATTATTTAATTTCATAAAATACTTCTAAAGTGTAGCAGTTCGACTTTACTCTGTCAGATCTGCTTTGTTGGTTTTCTGTATGTGTCTATATGTCTATATAATATATACTTATCTCTATATGTGACTTAGTGTGCATTTATAGTTACTAACAGATATTAAATACTTTGTGGTATAAAATTGCATTGTAATGATTTGAGTGAAAAAGTTCTTCAATAAAATGTTCATTAATCCCAATTCTATTGCAATCGACACTAAATATGTAAATATTTTTGGAAAAGTAGTACTTCTGGTTGAAGTTGGAAAAAAATACCTACTATATTATTGCACTTATAATTTACATATTTCTAAGCTAATTTATTTAAATATTTTCATGTTCTTCTATGTAAAGTGAGAAGAAATTGCTTCAGTTAAAATGTACGAGGCACGTGTTCTCTCTTACAGCTTTTAGTATCCGCAGCAAATCTGGGGGATTATTTTCTTAGAAAACATGAATTAACTAAGATCACAGATGTTAGCAGGCTTTATCACCTATATTCATAATCAGTGTTTTTGGAAGATAGATAATGAAGAAGGAAGTCAAAACTGCAATACAGAAATCTCAAACTAGTTAATCCATGTTTGGCTTGTAGCCTTAGAAGCTTACTAACTTGGGACTGAACTGCAGAATAAAATCTAAATTCTTCTACCCCACAAAGAAATTCCTGAAGAATAGGATATTCATAGCCTTTATGCCCTGGGTGCCTTTTCAGTGAACGAATGTAGATCTAAGTTTAATATGTAGCTATAAGGCACTGGTCATGATAAGCTTAGAAGGAAGATCATGCATATTGGACAGTACTTTAAGAATACATAATTTGAATATACGTATATATGTATATATATATTTATTTATTTATTTCCATATGCTTATACTTCTCTATTTTCTACTGGTTGAATATAAATTGCAGTTGTTTAATGCATAATTACGTGGTTAACTGGGTATATGTGAATATTTATGATATATACAAATGTCTGAACAGGAATTTGTCAATAACTTTTGTGTTCAGCCTTAGGTTAATTGATATATTATTTAAATTATACCATTCCTTACATGGAATTTCTGCTTTATTTTCAGACCTCCAGCTGGATTATTCATTAACAGATGAGTTCTGTAAGAATCACTTCTTAGTGGGGCTGCTTCTAAGGGAGGTGGGAAATGCATTGCAAGAGTTCAGAGAAGTGCGTCAGATTGCTATTAGTGTGCTCAAGAATTTGATGATAAAGCATTCTTTTGATGATAGATATGCTTCCAGGGTAAGTATATTTCTCTGTTAGTGGTACAAAATGATAAATACTGTGTGCACACTTTCAGAGAATTTTTTTTCTTCTTTCACAAAACTTACTAATTTGCAGCCATGTTGTTTGAGTTCAGACTGCATCTGTGATGAAAATGTGTGGTGTTTGTAGGAAAAACAATTTGCAGGCCCCATTACTTTTACCAAAGAGGACCACAAGGCATCTTTTTAGAATAATTACATTTATTTATTACATTTTGATAGCTGTTTTTGATATATTTTGGTAACCATTACATTTAGACATATAACGACTATTTTTAAAGCTCTTAATTTCATTAAGTGCTACTCTTAATACTTGACAACTGTCTATACATCATCATTACTACTGGTAAAGTGAGCATAAGAAAAATGCTGTCATGAGTTTATAAAGCTGTCGTAAGATTACTTGGTTAGTCTTAGCTGAAATCATATTGCTGTAGGTTTTCTCTGTGTTATATTGAAACAATAAATAAAATGTGTTGATAAAACTATAGTGAATACAGAGATGACCATTACTTTTCCACTCAGGAAGTTATAAGTGTGAACTCTGGCTTAACAAATATTTATTAAACGTTCTTTTCAAACTGTTTTTAGGTCCATCAAGCACGAATAGCCACTATGTACTTGCCACTCTTTGGATTGCTTATAGAAAATGTCCAACGAATCAATGTTAAAGATGTGTCTCCATTTCCTGTTAATCCTTCCAGTAATGTGAGTGACCATTTCTATTTGATATTCTGATTATTTTCATCATAATTTCTTGCTAACATGTATATAAAATAATACATACTTTCAGGAAAAAGTTCCATAAATTTCAGAATTCTTGGAGTTTGTTTTCTGTCCTTTATACTACATTAAAATTTTTAGTTACATTTTATGATTTTGATTGCCCTTCCTCTGGTCCAGCTAAGTTATGCCTGACATCATAGTTGGCTACATTCAATAAATGCATCATAACTTGCTCTTCAGTTGAACCTGTGAAGATTTTTGTAGAATGTCAAGCCTCAGACTAACACAGTATGTTTCTAGTGTCATTTGATTTTAATATTATATAGCATCTTACTATTTCTGTATCTCTCGTGTATGTTTCTATCATTCTATTAACAACTATAGACCTCGTGCATCTTTTTGTCTGCTCTAACAAAAGTTGAAGGAGTAGTGTTGTTGAAGTGTCAAAAACAAACGGAAAAAAAAAAGCCAACCAAAGAAAAAAACCCAAAACTAAACAGGAGTATATTGAAATGCTATTGTTGTACACAATTATTGAATCTGAGATTTAATAATTAAAGAGTTTATTTTTATTTTTTCCGTATTTTGCTGAGTACCATTTGCCAGTTAAGAAAGAGAAAGAAACTTACAGTGCCTTTCCAACAACACAAAAAATTGGGTATTTAAAATAAAAATCTAGGTCTTTTGAAATTGTCTGTATTACAGTGGAATACTCAATTGTATGGAATACTCATTTTTTCCAGTATTTGCTGAGATCTTTTAAGTTAAAGGCTATCTCAGACTTGTGGAAGTATCTGAACCTATCATTCCATGCTTTTTGAGCATAGATAATAGAAATTAAGAAAGAAAGAAAGAAATATATTCCAGGAAGTTCCTGGAGTGGGCAAAAGATAACTTCCTGACACAGCCTAGTAGGGAAAGGACCCCATTAGGCCTACTATTTACAAGCAGAGAAGGAATGGTGAGAGTCATGGTGGTCATGACTGACTTGGAAGCTGACTTGGACATAGTGGCCAAGAAATAATTCATTTCTCTGTTACTGGTGAAGTTAGGAGGGAAGTCAGCAAAACTGCTGCCTTGGATTTCCAGAGGGCAGACTTTGAGCTTCAGAATGGGCTGGGAGAATCCCTTGGGAGTTAGTCCTGAAGGGGAAAGGGTGCCACAAAAGCTCGACATTCCTCAAGAACACACGGTGGAAGGCCGTCCCCATGTGGTGTTAAAGCAAGCCAGTGTAGAAGACCAGCCTGCTGAACAGTTTTTGCTAAGACTCCAGGAAAAAGAGAGTTTACTATCATTGGATGAAGTGGCAGACAACTCTAGAACAGTACATGGATGTTACTAGGATATGCAGAGAGAACATAAGAAATGCGAAAGCTCAGCAGGGGCTTAATCTGCCATTGTGAAAGATTAAAAATAAAAAAAAAAAAAAGTGCTTTTACAAATTAATGAACAACAAAAGAAGGGGCAAGGAAGATGTCCATTCTTTATTGAATGCAACTAGGGACATTACCACCAAGGATGAGGAAAAGGCTGAGGTTCTTAAAGCCTTCTTTGCTTCTGTCTTTAGTAGTCAGAACAGTTATCCACAGGGTACACAAGCCCCTGAACTGGAAGACAGGGATAGAGAGCAGAATAAACCCTCCATAGTTGGAGAGGAAACAGCAGCCTGCTATTCCATCAAGTGTGTGGGCTGAATAGGATCCCCCTGAGGGTACTGAGAGCTGGCCAAGCCCCTTTGGATCATTTATCAACAGTCCTCATTAACCGGAGAGGTTCCAGACAACTGGAGGCTAGTGAATGTGGCATCCATGTGGCATCCTGTCTGCCTGACCTTGGTATCAGCGAAAGTATTGAGTTGGGAGAAAGTGTTGATCAGCGTTAGGGCAGGAAGGCCCTACAGAAGGATCTGGACAGGCTGGAGTAATGGTCTGAGTCCATTTATATGAGGTTCAACTAGAACAAGTGATGGGTCCTCTACTTTGGTCACAGTGACTACAGGCAATGCTACAGGATTGGCGTAGAGTGGCAGGAAAGATGTGCAGAGGAAAAGGATCTGGAGGTGTTAGTTGACAGCTAAACGAGAACCAGCAGTGTACCCAAGTGGCCAAGAAGGCCAATGTTTTCCTGGCTTGTATCAGAAATAGAGCAGTCAGCAGCAGCAGGAAGGTGGTCATTTCCCTGTTCTTGGCACTGGTGAGGCTGCACTTAGAGAACTGTGCTCAGTTTTGGGCCCCTCATTGCAAGAAGGACAGTGCAGCACTGGAGTGTGTCCAGAGAAGGACAGCAAAGCTGGTGAGGGTCTGAAGCACAAGTCTTACGAGGAGCAGCTGAGGAAACTGGGGGTGTTCAGTCTGGAGAAGAGAAGGCTCAGGGTAGACCTTATTGCTCTCTGCAGTGAAATGAAAGGAGGTTGTGGCGAGGTGGGGGGTTGGCCTCTTCTCCCAGATCACACTGATAGGCTGTGAGGTAATGGCCTCAAGTTGTGCCTGAGGAGGTTCAGTTTGAATATTAGAAGGCATTTCTACTCTGAAAGAGTGGTGAGGCATTGGAACAGGCTGCCCAAGGGAAGTGGTGAAGTCACCATCCCTGGAGATGTTCACAACACGTGGAGATGTGGAACACAGGTAACATGGTTTAGTGGGAATGGTGATGATGCATTGACAGTTGGACTAGGTGATCTTAGAGGTCTTTTCTAGCTGTAATGATTCTGTCATTCTATATAGTAAACGCTGCATTAGAAAATAAAGTATGTATTACTAACTATACCCATAATGTTGGAAAACAATAATCATATCTTCCTTTATTCCTTTTTTTTTTTTCCCAAGCAGAGTGGAAAGGATGATGGGCTAAATTTGCCGACTGCAAATCAGCTGGTAACACCACAAAAAGCAGTAAACACATTGGATAATAACCTTCCTAAAGATCTGTTTGGTGTTATCTCTGGCATTGGTAAGCACTTAAAAAAAACAAAACAAAACAAAACAAAAACCTAAAAAAGGAAGAAGTTTTCTTTTGTTACTAGTAGTAATTGCCCTATTTTTTAAGAAGACAAATTCCTGTTTTTTGGGAGCTATTGGGAATAGGTGAACGGTTGGACTGGATGATCTTTTAGGTCTTTTCCAACCTTGGTGATTCTATGATTCTTAAGAAATACATACATACATATACATACATATATATATATAGGGGCTTAGAGGTTGGTCTGTAGAGTGACTTTTTACAGTATATGCATTGTTTGAGATTTTTACATTTTCTTTTGTTTAGCTTCTCCATATACTACTTCAACTCCGAATATTAATTGTGTGAGGAATGCTGACTCAAGAGGCTCTCTTATAAGTACAGACTCAGGAAACAGTCTTCCTGAAAGACACAGTGACAAAAGCAATTCTCTTGACAAGGTAAACAAGCAAACAAAAAAACCCCTCAGAAACAACAACAAAAAAAATACCCGCTGAAGTGTACTCCTGAAATTTCAAGTTAACTTTTGTTATCTCTGCTGGGACTGAGCTTTCAAGAATAACTTCAGAGCAGCGTTTTCAGAAGTTTTTGTTTTATCTTCTTTTGAGAAACACATGTCGTATGAGCTCTTCTAACAGTGTTTTTATTAAGCTGTTCTGCAGAAAATGCAGTCTGATTTTCAATTTAGAAACATGAGCAAGCACTTGTTTTTTTCCCTTTAGATAAGGGTATGAGGTTAAGAGCATTAAATGTTGCCTGTGAGAACTAAACTCTGGTTATGCGAGATTTTGTGGAGGTCATCACTCTATCTGTTCAACACACAATATATGTAATACAAGCATTTTTAAAATCAATTACTATCAATTCTCTTAAGTGACTTATATTAGTTTGACTTTTCTAAAGCATTTCACTTGGAACCTGTTACAAAGTAGGAGTTTTGGTTCTGGTAGCTGTGAGTTATTCAGTTGTGTCTTTATAGAGCTTGTATTTATGCTGATCACGTTTCATTTTCTTAGATCTTGTTGTGCATGTCACAACACGATAACTTTTTCCCTTGACCCTGACATGCCTTCGTGTGGCAGAGAGAGAAGCTTCTCAGAAGGCACTCTGCTCATGCTATGCGTCCTAATGGAGGAGAAGAAGAAAATTCTCACCCTGCAAAGAAAAACCGTGTTACTATGGATTTTTCGCTTCTGACAATTCCAGTTTTGCCAGAGAAAATTATGCATGCTGCTTTCTCCCTTCAGTTACAAGAAGTATTTGGTTTTTGTGCTTGGTATAGTTAAGCTTCTGAGTGAAGTGTGTGTGATCAATAGTTTTGCCACTTCTTTTGCAACAGTTGAATCTCAAGGCAAATATATGCGAAGCAACCACGTACCAAACCTGTAATAGTTCATTTATGTAATTTAGTTAAGTCAGAACTATCCATTAGTTTACCTATTAGCAGAATCTGAGTCATATATTTCTTAATATAAATATGTTTTCTTTCACATTCTTTGACAGAAATGCCTTGGACACCTGCTGTTGCTAAAATGGCAATACTGTCATTCATTACTTAGTTTTTATATTGTTAATTACTAACGTGCAGTGTTTTCTCTAAAAGGGTTTTCAAAGGAGTCAAAATCCTTTGAAAATTCTACTCTGATCTGCCAATTTAGGTAATAGAGAGTTCATGTTTTGCATGCTGTTAATTTCTTGTGTGAAAAATACTTAATTCTGGCTTCTTAGTCATTGCTTTCCAAAGTTTCTGTTAGATCAGCTGTTCATTGCATGTATTTTCAAATTTTTGCTCATTGCTTGGTTTCATCTTAATTTTCATTCAGAATAACCTGTAGAACTAGCCTTGTGGAAAAAGAATTCGCTAGAAACTATTTCTATTTTAATATGGCCTTTCTTTGTATGCTACTGAGTTAAAACTTGTTTTAACTGTGTACATTTTCAACTTTTAGAGGGAGTTCTATCTCTAAACAGTATCAAAATTATAGAAAACTCAAAAACCGGTTTCTGTTCTGTCACTCATTAATTGCCTGCTCCATTTCGGTTTGCATATAACTATACAGTAGTACTTCCTTATTCACTAGAGATTCTGTATTTATTTGAAGTGAACAATTTGTGGGACCTTTAGAATCAGGAGTGTTCAGGTTTATGCAGGTGTCTACTTCCTTCTAAACTGAAGTAATTTATTTCTAGTATTACTATAACGTCATGTGGTTTCACTGCATACAATGGCTAGTATGTGAGAGACTGCATCGATTGTTTTAGGAACATGGAACATCAGTAGTCAACATTCAGTAGTCAATTGATGCCTGTGCAAAGTGTCATGGATTAGCATTTCTCTTGCTTTCAGTGAGGAGTGTTCCTGGAAGGACTATTCTGCCCTTGAGGTATTGGAACTCAGTTTGAGAAACCAAGTGCTCTCCCACAAGTCTGTTTTTATTTTTATTTTCATTTTTGTTTTTGTTTTTCTAATGTTGATATAAAGGATTACCTCTTACGCTGGTATGTGGCCTTAAAAAGTTAATGAGTCCGACGTTATCAAGCTTCTATGTAGAAACTGTTGCACAGATCAATTATATCAGAACATTAACTCTCCAGAAAATAATTTAAATGGCTGGTTCATCTTTCATTGGGATAAGTAGCCTCACATTGGAAGGGAGGAATTGGCAATGAAGAAGGTGGAATATATCCTTTAAATGAACATTCAGCTTCACACTGAGGATTTTATAACACTTGATTGTGTAAAAATGATTGTTTTACAAATAGGTCATTGCCTAAAGCTCTCTTTCTATATTCTCAGTTCTACTTTTTTTCTTTTTGTAGCCCTTTATGCAGTAAATTTTGAAAGTTGTCAAGCTGTCATGTTGGTTTTTTTTTTTTTTTTTTTTGTTAGTTTGTTTTTTCTTTTTGGACAGATTTTGGGATTTCCTTCAGTAATGAGTATTGTAGATTGGCTTCTCACAAGTGTAGGGTCTTTACAAAGGGAGGAAAGGGTTTTTTTGTTTGTTTGTTTGTTTTTTAAGGCAAAGGCAGATTATTTATCAGTAGATGCAGAATGCACATTATTTCCATACCTGTGTGTTTCCCTTGGGATTCTTCGCTTTCCAGTAGAATTGTGTGGAGTCAGTTCTGCCTGCAGTTCAACGTAAAATCTTCAAAAGCAAAGGAGGATGTATGTGTTGCCTAACAGCGTGTAATTTTTAAAGTATTTACACTAAGCAAAGAGGGCAAGCCTCAGTTTGCAGTCACTGTTAGGTAACTTCTCTTATTCGTCCTCCTTGGGAGAAAATTTGTGCAAAGAAGGAAATGAAAATAAACAAAAGTAAAGAGGTTTGATTTCTATACTTATGTGTACTGTGTGTGTTTTAGAGGCCTATCTCTACATAAAACATTTTTGTCTCCGTTCTGAGATCCTTTTTCTGTTTCAGGAATTAATAAGGCAATTTAAAACATTTTAGTTTATTATCAGTTTAGGAAACTTTCAGCCAAACTGTTTATTTTCTTTTCAGAACCAACAGAGCAGCACTTTGGGAAGTTCTGTAGTTCGATATGACAAACTTGACCAAGCAGAGATCAAGAGTCTGCTTATGTGTTTCCTTCATATCTTGAGAAGTATGTCAGAAGGTAGGTAATTCCACCTATTTTTAAAAAATATGTAATGATGGATTGGATTTATGCGCATGACTTAATATCTTTTGTAACCTCACAAGCCATTTTTATTGAGATCCTAATTATCTGAAAACCAAGAACAGCTTTCTAGCTCTCCACTTAATGCTTTTTTGTGCTTACTGCCTTTGTCTTGTTTTTCATATTTTTCGTTTTCCTAGATGCGTTGTTTACTTATTGGAACAAGGCTACGAAATCTGAACTCATGGACTTCTTCACAATTACAGAGTAAGATTTTTTTTGAGTTTATCATAAAATCATACATTTCACTGTGCTGTTAAAATCTTGAGCGTGGACAGAAATGTATGTGTTACTCTTGATTGTTTGAAAAGCAATATCACAGTAAGTCTTGATTAGAAATCCTTAACTTGATGTGCACAATTGCATGTCTGTCCAACTCCATAACAGTTTCTGGAATTAGGCTATGCAGAAATGACCTCAGAAGGTTCTTAAACTGTAAGTAGTGCTCAGAATTTCATTTCTTGTGCAAGTGGAATGGACTGTCTTGTTGACTTGCCTGCATTCAAATGCATCTTGTAATGCAAACTTGTGGAATGATATGGCTGCGTATGAAAATCATTTGAATCAAATGACTTCGGAAACAAAGGGAAATTAATTGTCTTCCTAGCTTTCCTCTTGGAAACAAAATATATGATGAATCCATTATTTCTTATTAGCTGCTATATTTCAGCCTATTCACATGTAGTATTGTTTATTCATGAGAACTAACTGATAAATAAAAAACAAGTATGGTGCTGTTGACTGGAAGTAGTGCAACACAGAAGCTTTTCTGCATGTCTTGTTTCGTTGATTTGTTTTTCTTCATTTCAGTTGTTACAGACTCAGTCACTATAATATCAGTAATTAATTGTTATGTAATGTGATACTCAAAGTTCATTTTAGAAATATGTTACAAATAGTGTTTTAATTCAGCCACTGAGTACAGATGGCATTATATTGATTGTACTGAAAACAGAACTGGGCAGGTAAATGAGCACAGGTAGTAGACTGAAGCATGAGGTATAAACTGTATGAAATGAGTGAACAATGTTTTTCCCTTAATGGCCTCTTGTTTAAGGGCAAGGTAGAATTAGTTTTTGATCTGATCAGTAATCTCAGATTACCATCACAGTATCAGTTTAAGGAATACAGAACAAAATAAAATTCCCATCATAGAATTTAGGTTAGAAAAGACCCTTAAGATCGAATGATGCAAGTGATGTCCCCCAGTGCCACATCTGCGCAGAAAGTAGACCAGATGGCCTTTAAATGTCCCTTCCAACCTCAACCATTCTATGATTTTGTGACGTAACATTTGAACTTGGTGCTAATAATTTTCTAATGTGCTCTGCTTTTTCATTATTTGACTCCTAGCTTGTTGTTGCAAGACTCATACTAGATGTTTTGATGCAGAAATGTTGAGATTGATGTGGTCTTTTTATACTAATCCTGATTTAACTAAAACAGCAACCATTCCTGATTGATTTCAGAGGTCCTGAATCAGTTATTCTTGGCTGGGGACTGGAAACTAATTTTAAGGGTTGGAGAGATAAAATTTCATGGCATAAGAGTTTAAAGTTAAACAAGAAAAAAAAAAAGTTGAGTAATTCCAATGAACAGAAACTTATAAAGGATTTTTGTGTTATTTTTCTGACTTTTTATGTGTTCTCTGTAGAGTGTGCTTACATCAGTTCCAGTACATGGGAAAACGATACATAGCCAGGTACTGTGTGGAATTTAAATGTTACTGTATTGTCTACTCAGAATAATAGCCTGTACAGTCCTGTATCCACTAAAAGTAATAATGGGCGCAGAACTCTGCTACAAATACATTATATGGGAGTGGAAATGTTGTTGTAAAGTTATACATAACAATTTGAAGTAAGTGGTTATTATATTAACAATTCTGAAGCAGATACCACACTTCTAGATAGGATACAGAATGTTGTGTGCTGTGTTTATTATAAATTACTTTGCAATTCACCCACCCTTCCTACTGTCTTTTTACTGAAGAGTTTTTTCCTTGAAGTAATGTCTTTTGGGAAGAAGTTTTATCATTTTAATATTTGATTTATTCACTCGGCCATAAAACCATGTCAGTTGAAATGTTATAGAAATTTAATAAAGTGTCTTCAGTGAAAGGTGAGTAGTAGACATTTCTACTCTGCTGTTTTTCAGTTCTTCTAGGTACTTCTGGGTACCTGTATGGTTCCCATTGGCTGCTGTTTAAGAGAAAATCTCAGAAATATGTATATAGTATGTACTTGTTTCAAAGTAATGCCTCCTATTTATTTCATGAAAACAACAATAGATACAAAAAGCACAAAAGCACTGTTTGGTAGAGTAAATTCTCAGCTACAAAACACTATTTTTCAACACAGTCACCGCCATTAGCTGTGCCTTTTCACCACCAGTGCACAAGAGCTTGCGTGCTTCACTCATAAAAATCTGCACCACTGCAGGTGACCCACTGTCCCCACTGCTGAAACTCATCACCACTGCCTCGGTGTACTCACATCCACTATTTGGTCTCTAGAAATGTTCAGCAAGCACCAATGAATGTCAGTGGCTGCCATTTTCTCTGCATGGAGGAATTCAGTGACACCCCTTTGTTTCATACGTGCTTCCATGTTGGATGTCATTCTGTCAGACTGCCCCTCTGTTGCCATCTGTCACACAGTCACAGCGTGTAATGGAACACTGGTGGGAAAGTTCAGCCTCTGCTGCCATGCAAACACCGTGTGTCTCTGATGTGGGCTAACATAAAATGGGAGGCATTACTTTTGGAGCAGCTTTTGTACTCAAGTATTTGAATATGTTTGCATTAGTGTGTTCTTTCATACCAAGTATTTTTTTAAATAGAGTAAAATGTAGTAATCTGTCTGGGCTTCACACTGTGGCATACATGGTGGTCCTGTTATAACTAAATTTGTAGAGTTCAAATACTGGTCCTCTTGAGCTTGGTGGGAGAGAAATTGCAGAGCTCGGATGGTAAGATGTTTAGCTTTTTGTTTTAAGTTCAGTGGTATGTGAGTGTGTTTCTACAAACAACAAACATGACTACCTTCCTGGAATTTTTTCAGGAAAAGATCTCATCCATGTTTGCACAACTTCAAAAAGATGAATAATAATCAGCAACCAAAGCAAGTCTGTCTTTGCTAAGGCTTTGATTTTTAACCTTTGTGCTCTAATAAACTCTGGATTTACAGAAGCTTGTGATTTTAGGCTTTTCATAAAAAAAATGATAAAATTATTGAAAAATATATAAAGAAACAAACATCAAAACCAACCAACCAAAAGAAAGTTTAATTCCTTTGACTAGTTTTTAGAAAAGAACTACCCTCCTTCCTTTTTTACTGATCGCTTAGTTTGTGTAGTGCATGTTATGCTAAAAAAAGACTTAAGCTATAGAAGTCATTTGTGTTCTGCAGAATTATTGAATTTCCCCAATTAATGTAGCTTTCTAGTCTTTCATGTTGTTACACTAAAGTATATGACATACTTTGCACATACTCTTAAAATACACAAAGGACACAGAACGAAAAGGAACAGGGAAATATTCAGGCACTGGTTGTCATTTTTCATTAGCTCTGGTGGTGGTACACAATAGGAATTTAGCCTGTACTGATTGCTAACACAGATCACCTTTCTGTTCTCTTCACTTGATTGCTGCAAGTTTAACAAAGTGTATGGCTCTTCTCCCTTCCTGCTTGGGTAAGATGTCCACAATAATACTTCAGTTAATTCCTACTCTTCCCTGTTGCATGTATGCTTTCTAATTTTACCACCATGTGTCTTTTTCTAGCTTTTTTTCTAAAAATTTTATATAAGGTTTTGGGTTCCAAATATCTTTGGAATCTTTGTATTCTCAAATATTGATGTGCGCAAGAGCTCTGAAGTAAATCTAGCATTTTCAGAGCAACTACTCGTGTGCTTTTGCTGTTGTGCTTTGAGATTTTTAGGAAAGCATTTGCTGTGATGCTTTTTTTTTAAGCAACCTATTTTTGTTTTGTAAGTAAAACATTAAATAGGTTGCATTATGACTCTTTCTATAAAACTTCTTGTAGCTGCTTGACTAACACTTCCTGTCTTGCTGCTGATTGACATGTCTAACTTTTGCTTCTATCCCATTTCACCCATCTTGCAGGAACCAGGAGGGGTTGGGATCCATAGTTCATGATCGAAAATCTCAGACATTGCCTGTTTCCCGTAACAGAACAGGAATGATGCATGCCAGATTGCAGCAGCTGAGCAGCCTGGATAACTCTCTCACTTTTAACCACAGTAAGTCTCATGACATGGTAACATTCATCATCTTCAGCCAGTACCACAACACCACACAGGTCCCAGAGCCACACCAGTGCATTTCGATGACTTTTATTATTCTAGGTCGAGCGAATAACTGGAAAAAATGGATGGTCTGTTCCCTGCTTTGTGATAAAACAATTAATGCTGGCTGATGCCGTAACATGGAGCGTGGTTAACGATACTATATTTAAAAAACTTTTTTTTTTTTTCTTTTCAACTGCATACACTTCTGCTCTGTTGGACACATAGTTACAGAGTACAGAGTTGAGTTGTTTTCTATTTGCTTCATAAAACTTCATTTTTTTTCCCCAACTCGGTCTTATGATTAATCTGAAAACAAAAATTAACACTTTGACCATATCTCCATGTTTTGACATCTGCTAAGGAGAAATAAGCTTCTTAAAATTTCTACAGAGAATGTGAAGCCCATGATTTAGTTTGTCTGGAAGTCAAAAAGCGTCCAATAATGAAGTGATTTTTCTGTTTTCAGTGTGAGAAAGATATCAAGTATTCTTGGAATTTCTGTAGACAATGGTAAGATTTAATCAGGTTGAAGTCAGCTTCTATAAGACTGCTGTATTGAAAACTAAATCTGCTTATGTCCTATCTTTTTAAATATGCTGCTCTTAAATTGCAAGTTATGCTGTATGTAAAGTATTCAGAAGCACCATTTTGCAATTTTCAGCTTCAAAAGCAATTAAGCTGGTTGACTAATCCAGTAGAATAAACTGGATAACTGGGTCTGAAAAGAATGGTGTGCAGTAAAGCAGTTATTTGACTTACACTATACTCATTTCTTGATTTCCTGAGCATATCTAACTGTCCCCTACAGATACTTAAAATCTTTTAGCTCGTTATTTGTTATGTTACAAGCAACGGTCAACATAATTACCCAAGACTTACCACGCAGTTTGGTGGAAAACAAAAAAACCCACCCTGTTTATAAATGCATTTTCATATAATTTTAAATACAAAACATTCTTTGAATTAGATAGTTCATAAAACTATATAGTTCTGGAAAATATTTTTTCATGTAAGCAGTCTCCTGCTACTGTATTCATGCTGTATCAGTTCTGCTTCTACAAATTTTTACATGTTTTTTGATACACAAAAGTGCTTTCACACTGTATAACTACATGTTCTGTATGGTAAAATATTCTGTACAGGAATATTGATTTAAAAAAATTCTCTGGGAAATAAATCACCTCGTTGCTTCTGGACTTTATGTGCAAAACTCAACCAAGTTGACTGATTTTAAGGACAGTGAGCTGAAAGATTTTAATAAATGCATGCTTATGTAAGAATAAACTTTCTGTTCTTTTCCAACTAGTTTGAAGGAATTATCACAGTGTCTCATTCAGTCAATTTTCAGTTAAGTGATAGCAGTGTTTTTAATGCTGTACGTTTAATAAATATAAGGATGTTAGACTTTGTATTGACCATGGTTTTTTAAGGTGAAAACATGTTACTATGAAAGCCATGTCAAATGTTAAAATGATTTTTATGTCTTTTGTGTCTTGTTTTCTGACTTACAGTTTTGTGTTGTCGTCACTCCATCTGTATTATTTATATAGAATAGAATAGAATCATAGAGTCATTACAGTTGAAAAAGACCTCTAAGATCATCCAGTCCAATGTCCACCTACCACCAATATTCTCCACTAAACCACATCCCAAAATACTACCTCTGCCCTTTCCTTAAACACGTCCAGGGACAGTGACTCCTGTTCCAGCGCCCGACCACTCTTTCAGAGAAGAAATGCTTTCTAATTTCCAAAATGAACCTTCCTTGGTGCAACTTGAGACTGTTACCTCACAGCCTATCACTGTTACCTGGGAGAAGAGGCGAACGCTCACCTTGCCACAACCTCCTTTCATGTCATTGCAGAGAGCAATAGATGATAGATGAAGTCTTCTCTGAGCCTCCTCTTCTCCAGATTAAACGCCCCTGGTTTCTCCAGCAGCTCCTCATAGGACTTATGCTCCAGACCCTCACCAGCTTTGCTGCCCTTCTCTGGATATGCTCCAGTGCTGCACTGTCTTTTAATGAGGGGCTCAAAACTGAGCACAGTACTCAAGGTGCAACCTCACCATAGCTGGCTTCATCTTCCTCCTCCTTTGTCCTGCTAGCTACACTATTTCTGATACAAGTCAGATTGCTGTTGGCCTTCTTGGCCGCCTGGGCACACTGCTAGCATTCAGAACTTTAATAAATCTTTTGGATAACATATATACTCACATAGTTAGGATGTATATGATGGAAATCCTTGCTCTCGTGCCAAAAGATAGTGATTTTAGAAACAACATTGTCTGTAAATGTAATTTATAAACTTCATTTCTCCCTTTTTAATTATTAATCCAAGGAAAAGAACTGATATCATGGTATAGGTGATATGTCAGATCTCTGAGGAATTTCAGTGTAGTTTTGTGACTTACATGTGAAAGAAAATAAGACTTATATTGAAATTTCTGAAGCCTCAGAAGAAACAGCAAGAAGATGGATCTATATGTGTGTCATCTGTGTTAAAGGAGAGGAGGAAGCTCAGTATAACACAGTGACATACAAATGTACATAAGAAGAGATATACCTTCAGCTGTATTGGCAGTTTACAGTTGATGTTGAGCTCAGTCATTAAAGGTTATTCTATTTTCAGAGTTCTTAGATAGTTTTAAATGCATGTTCGTATGCATGTCTAGATAGATCTCCATATCATATATGTTAGATGTCTTCTAATGAAGCCCAACTGAGTTTTACTTTGTTTGCATCCTGCCCAAAACTTCTGCAATAATGCAGTGTAAGCAAAGGCTAGTTTATTGTAAATTATTAATGGAAAGAAAAAGTTTGAACTGTTTGGAATGTTGTGGATTGGCTGCAGCTTCTGGTCAGAAGAGTGAAATATCAAGAGTTGGAAAGGACCCACAATAATTATCAAGCCCAACTCCCAGCTTCTCACAGCACCACCCAAAATCCGAACACTGATGGTGCTGTCCAGGTGCTCTTTGCTCCAGCAGCTTGGGGATGTGACCACTGCCCTGAGCACCAGTTCCGTGCCTGACCACCCTCTGGTGCAGAACCTTTTCCTAACACCGAACTGACCTTCCTCTGATCAGCTCTTTGCTATTCCCTTGGGTCTTCCCCTCTGAACCCCTTGTGGGGAAGCTGTAGGCCTCTGTTAAGCCTCTTTTTAGTCTTCTTTTCCCCGAGCTGAACAAACCAAGAGACCTCAACCGCTCCTTCTACATCTTGCTATCTAGAACCTTTGTCATCTTCACAGCTCTTTTCTGGATGCTCTCTAGTAGCTGGATCTTATGTGCCCCAAAGTGCACCCAGCGCGCTGCAGTGAAGCCACACCAGCACAGAGCAGAGCCAGACAATCCCTTCTCTCATCTGGCTGGCAGTGCTGTTTCTGATGCACCCCCTCAGGATGTGGTTGGCCCTTCTGGCTGCCAGGGCAGATGTGTACTCAGTGTGTATTCATTTTGCCATTGATCTGAATCCTCAGGTCCTATTCTGTGAAGCTGATCTCCAGCTTCTCATCTCCTGTTCTGTACATATATCCAGGATTTTCCTGTCCCAGGTGGAGAATCTGTCACTGCTCTTGTTGAACTTCATACAGTTGGTGATTGCCCAGCCTGCTATTTCATCTAGATCTCTCTCAAGGCCCTTCTACCCTTGAGTGAGTCAACAGTTCCTTGTAATTTAGTATCATCTGCAAGCTTTCTTAGTATACATTCAATTCCTGTGTTAAGCTCACTTATTAAAGCATTAACAAGAACTGGTCCTAAAATGGAGCAGTGCTGAATCCCCACTGTGGCTGACTGCCAGCCTGATGTAACCCCACTTATTATAGCAGTTTGAGTCCAACCTGTCAACCAATTGTTCTCCCATCCTATTATGTACTTGTCTAGCTGTATGCTGGACATTTTGTCCAGAAGGATACTGTGACAGTATTGCAAACTCTTGTAAAATCCAAAATAATCACATCAGCTGGCTTCTCTTGGTCAGCTAGATGTGTGATTTTGTTATAAAAGGAAAGGTAGTTAATCAGGATTTTCTCCTTGTGAACAGTTTGTGGCCTAGACCAATGGCTGTATTATCTTTCAAATGTATTTCAGTGGCTTTCAGGATAATGTTTTCTGAATTTAGCAGGCACTGGAGTGAGACTCATAGGTCCGTAATTACCAGAGTTGGCTTTTTTATTCTTCCTGTCTTTTTTACTCTTCCTGAAAACTGGAACAACTCTGGAACATAGGATTTATAATAACCTTTCTTTATATCTGGAAGAGCAAACAAAATATTTCTTTAAACAGTATTTTTCCTGTCCTCAGTGGGGTTTTCAAAATAGTCATCATCTCTTGATATCTTCAATGGTACCGAAACTGTAGGACACCTGAAGTCCTACCTAAACTGTAGTCACCTAAAGGTGACTGCTATGAAAAAGACTTTTTCTTGAATTTATTTAAGGAAAAAAATACTTTTACAAAAATGAAAATATTGGCAAGTGGCTGTTATGTTAAAACTTGCTTCAAAATACTGATTGTTTCTTTCTGTCGTTACAGAGTTATAAGAGGTAATGGAACTGAAATTGTAGAGAAAAAACACGGGAAAAGGATGAAGTGGAGGCAGGGAGAATATCACACACACACACACACGCACACACACACACTTTTATATATATATATATGCATATATATTGCAAAAAGGGGTATACTTGCTAACAGAAAACGTGTAAATCTGTAGAAACTGATGGTTATTCTGGATCCTTTCCATGCAGAATACACTAGTGCAGGTTTTACCAATCTTTTTTCCTACACTTTGTAGCTTTTTTATTTGCTTGTTTCAAGTTCATTCTTCATTGTTTTGTTCTTAAAAACAAACACCGTGACTTTTCTTTTAACGCTACACCTAATGGTAGGTCTACTTAGTCTGGATAAAGAAAGAGGAAAACAATGGTATCTGCAGTTGCATAGTTAAGTAGGGTAGCAAAGGGTACAGAAAAAATGGCTAGGTGACAGCCTAAAAGAATTTCATCTCTTCTTAGACTCAGTGAGTTCAAGTTATACTTCTAGCAATGCTAAGTTGTCTATGTTGGGCTATCTAATATTTTAACATGATTCACACCAAATTTGTGCAAAGCAGCCAGATCACATCTGTCAATCCAGTTCTGAAAGATCAGTGTTAGGAAACATAAACAATGTATTTTAACCATTGCTGAAGCATGCTGTTTTTTAAATTATTTGATTGCATTACAGAACAAAAGTCAATAAAGTATTTTGGTTAAACATGGAGTTATTGCATGCTATTCCTACAGAGCATAATTACTTCCTTAGGTCTTCAACTGTGTATAAGTGCATGTATTCCTTTGGTGTTCTGTATTTTAATAATGATTGAATTCAATATCATTATAACATCACTAAATCACCAGTGCATATTTTCAGCTGTAACTTCATGCTACTGAGGCATTTATTTTGTGAATATATGTATGTATGTATACATGTATAAGTATATATTTTTATTTATACATTTGTGCGTATACATACATATATATATGAAACATCAAACATTTTAATGTTTTCCTTGCTATTTATTGTTTCTGTTGTTGGCATTTGTACTTTATTCTATGATCTTGTGCAAATTATGCTAAAATAATTGTTTGCACATATTTGACAAATGGATATTAATTATTTTTCTGTATTGAATGTTAACTCCTGTCAGGCTTTATATTTGTCAATCTTCTCAGCAAGTCTTTTGGAAATAAAATACATGTAAATTTGTGCACTAAGCACTTACACTTAATTTTTGTAGGCTATGGCCATTCAGATGCAGACGTTCTTCACCAGTCTTTACTGGAAGCAAATACTGCCACAGAAGTTTGCCTTACAATTCTGGATACTCTATCATTATTCACAATGGCTTTTAAGGTTTGTCCTTGAATTTATGTTAACATCTCCTATAATTATACCAAAAAAAAATTTTTTTGGCAAAACTGTTTTTAAAATTTTATTTTAAATTGCATAGCATACACTGTAGTTCTGTAACTTGGCACTTTTTAGCATTTCTGGTATTGTATTTCGTTGTTGTGGCATTTAACATCTCATAACCTGTTGAACCTTTCGCTTCAGTTGCCCAATGTACTCCATATTGATCATCAGTATTCTGTTGGAAAAGCTCCTTCCTTATCTTAACTTTGTAAAAGTATTTCTGGAAACTGTAGTATCTACTTAATATGAGTGGTAAAACTGTATTTTCTATGCCAGTACCATAATTGATATTTGGATGCGCTCAGGTGCAGGCTTGTATATTGAACTTGATCTCTTCTTGTATGAAACATTCATCAGTTAACAGCACTTTCTTTATAAGCAGGATCAATGCAATGGTAGAAATATCTCATTAAACCTCAGTTATTATTGCTTGTATTATTCAATGTCTCAGTAATAATATCCAGATTTCTTTTTTTGAATTAATGTCCTGCTTTTTAAAAATATGTATGTTTTCAGAGTGGTATAAATGTGTTGCAGTATTAAATTCCTAAATTCTCACTATTAATTTAAAGAATCAGCTACTGACAGATCATGGACATAATCCACTAATGAAAAAAGTATTTGATGTATACCTCTGCTTCCTTCAAAAGAATCAGTCTGAAACAGCACTGAAAAATGTTTTCGTTGCTTTAAGGGCACTTATTTTTAAGGTAAGGAGTTTTAAAATAATTTATCTCCAAGTACTTATCTGGATTTATAGCTAGAAATATACTATCTAGAACTTTGAGAACTAAAAATTCCAAATCAAAATTCATAAAGGGCCTGGAATAATTATTGTTTGAATTGCTGTAAAAACGACTTTGTTTTGTGAACTACTGTAACTGTTTTTTCAGTTGTTTGGGACTATTCATTTGGCACTTGTGTTTTTCTTAAGATGTTTATGCTGTCAAGAGTGGGGTGTTAATGAATACCTTCTTTCTTTTCTGCTTTTTTCCTCAGTTTCCTTCTACGTTTTATGAGGGTAGAGCTGATATGTGTTCTGCCCTGTGCTATGAGATTCTGAAGTACTGCAATTCCAAATTGAGTTCAATTCGTACTGAAGCTTCGCAGTTACTGTACTTCTTAATGAGAAATAATTTTGATTACACAGGAAAGAAATCTTTTGTTAGAACACATCTACAGGTGAGTATACTTTATTTTTTGTTTGTTGTGTTTTAAAGTATTGTGTGGTCAGTACTTGTAGGTGGGCAATTGCATGCAGGAGTGCAAAGTCCTGTTGGATAAAGACGGAAATGTTTTATTTATTTGAGCAAGGTCAGTACAATTCCAAGAGTAAGAAGAGTATATCAGGTACAAGGAAATAATTTGAAGCAATTCAGTGGCCCAGCATTATGCAGAAAATTATAATTTGTGAGTAGGAAATGTGTTCTTTAGACGTTATTTTGATTAAGTAGCTTACAGCGTCATGTCTAAAGGAGAAAAGAATGAAGCAGCAAGTGCCTAGAAGTCTAAAATAAAACAGAAATACATTAAGAAAAGGCTAAAAAAGAAATAAATTGTTCTGACAAGGCTGGGAACAACAGTTCATTTCTTTTACGAGCTCTACCTGGTTCACCTAGCTGTCAGTCTTTAGACCAGAAGGTGCTTGCGCATTAAATTTATATAAAGCTCCTTTTTCTTGCTTGTCTTGCTGTACAAATGTATGTTTGTTTGTTTTGGGGGAGGGGAGAGTCTGTCAAATAGCATTTGACTTCAAGGTATAATCTTTC